GGTGGCGGCTTTGCTCGGGTGTCCCTGGTCTGCTGGGGGGATCCAGCGGCTTTGCTGGACCCCCCCAGCAGACCAGGGAGACCGGGAGAAGCTTTTCTCGCCCCGGAGGACACGGGCGGCGACCCGCCGCCCGTCAGCTCCGGGGCGAGAAAAGCCCCGTTCGTAAGTGCGGATCTGACATAAGTCGGATCCGTGTAAGTCGGGGACTGCCTGTATTTCAAAATAATGTTGCTGTGTAGACATACCTTAAGTGATGTACTGGCCTCAATCATTAATCAAAAGTACAGCTAATAAAGCTTCTCCTTTATTTTAAAGACCTGAGGTCTGAGCTTTAGTGCTGAAAGTCCTGAGTTCAAACACTATTGGCAAAGTGGGAGTTGTTACACAAGCACTACTGCTCACTGTTATAACAAACATCTGTTCATAAACCCTGACTTTTGTAACCTTGAGATCTAATTCAGATAGAGGTTAAAAATGAGCCAATGATGATTTCTACAATAATACAATAATCTCTGAACTTACAGGCTACAGAGAAAGAAGTTGTCTGTATAATGAGAGTCTCCATGGTGGTGTTTGGGACAGCAGCCGCAGGCCTGGCTTTCCTTTCTAACTCTGTGTATGACCTGTGGTTCCTGAGTGGGGAGCTGGTCTATGCCCTTCTCTTTCCCCAGCTCTGCTGCGTCCTCTTCATTCCCAACACCAACACATACGGCTCAGCTGCTGGATTCTTCTTCGGGTTCCTGTTAAGGCTGCTGGCAGGGGAGTCTTCCCTGAAAATTCCTCCTGTTATCCACTACCCAGGCTGCTCCCTTGTGGACGGGGTCTACGTTCAGCTGTTCCCATTTAAAACCTTCACCATGCTTCTCACTTTGGGGACTATCGTTGTTGTTTCATACCTGGTGGCGTTTTTGTTTAAGAGAAAAGTGCTCCCTCGCAGATGGGATATTTGCAGCATAATGAAAGAAAGTGAGGCCCCTGTTCCACTTCCTGATATAGAGGAACAAATAGGCTTGCAAATAAATATAGTTTATATTAATCCTATTGAAATACATACTTAATACTGTGTATTTCATAATGCGGGCCAAGTTATTTCTCATTACATGCCAAATTATTTTTTATTGTTGATGATTTAAAATATCCACCTAAAAAGCTGGATGCTTTTCTGCATAACATTGTTTCTTTCATTATATAGAAATGTTTTGTTATTATAAGACTGAATATATGTAATGAAACTGAACCTAAACCCCAACGCCAAACATGTCCACATCTGGGGAGAGTTTGCGATGTAGATCTGAACTTTGGGACCGGTCTCTGTCTTTATAACAGATTGAACCAAATCAGGTGAGCCAAGGGAATACATTTAAAACTAATAAAATCATTTAATTTTTTCACAACCATAGAATTATCTTAAGGAATCGCTGCCACAAACCATCCCCAAGGCTACAAGCTATAAAAAAATTCAGAGAATTAGAAGTTTATAGAGTTAATGAAAGAAATGTGCAGGTCCCTTAAATAGGATTTTCTTTAAAGAAGGCCATAAATCAACCACCAGACAGCGGGAACAAAGGGGGCAACTGCCCCAGGTCTGGCAATTCAAAAGGGCCCAGGACTCCTAGTTGCTGCTGCTGCTAATGCATCAGCAGTGGTGGCTGGAGCCCCAGGCTCTTTAAATTGATGCCAGAGCACCAGGCAACACACTGGCTACGTCTACACTGGCATGATTTCCCGGAAATGCTTTTAACGGAAAAGTTTTCTGTTAAAAGCATTTTTGGAAAAGCACGTCTAGATTGGCAGGATGCTTTTCGGCAAAAGCACTTTTTGCGGAAAAGCATCCGTGGCCAATCTAGACGCGGTTTCCTGCAAAAAAGCCCCAATCGCCATTTTCGCGATTGGGGCTTTTTTGTGGAAAACAGAACTATGCTGTCTACACTGGCCCTTTTGCACAAAAGTCTTTCGGAAAAAGACTTTTGCCCGAACGGGAGCAGCATAGTATTTCCGGAAAAGCACTGATGATTTTACATGAGGTTGTCAGTGCTTTTCCGGAAATTCAAGTGGCCAGTGTAGACAGCTGGCAAGTTTTTCCCCAAAATCAGATGATTTTGCGGATTAACTTGCCAGTCTAGACACAGCCACTGAGTGGCTATGAGGGTTAGCTAAGGAAGAGAGTGGTGCAGTGTGGGGCTAAACTGAGGGCTGGCTGCTCCAGCCCCACCCATTCTACCTGAGGCTCCGCCCGTTCCGGGAGCACAACGTTGGCTCCCCCGCCTCCTGGCCCAGGGGCCTGGCAAAGCAGTTGGCCCCCCTGTCAAACAGTAACTGATGGGAGTTGATAATGCTATTTCACAGATGTCCATTATGGGATTTTTTACACTTCCTCTCACAAATCTGGTGCTGGCCTTTGTTAGAGATGGGGAACCCTGGTCTCTATGGGCCTCAGCTGTGAGCCCATACCACAATTCTATGTTACCATATGAAAAGCATGTAAAAAGTGGAGCCAAAACAGGCACATGAAGAATATTTTGAAGAGCAGGGATTGTATCCTTTCAGTAAAAATGAGCAGAAGGCTGTCATAGGAGCGATCGCAGCTGCCACCATGTACATGGACAGCCTGAGATTAGTCATTGCTCTTGAGTTTTAAATCAGGCTTGCTGACTGCCTTGGAATGAGTGGCAGTGGTCAATCCATCAGGCCTGCTTGGAATCAGCTGTGCTCATCAGTTGCCCAGAGACCGAGCAGCATCTGCAATTCCTTGTTCCAAACAATGGGGCTCAAATGTCTCAGTTGATTGACCTTCTAAAAGGTTGGCATTATGATTTAGAGACAGGCAAAATAGTCAAGCCATATGTGTGAAACGGCAGTGTAATTAATGCCAGGCAACTGTGGTCTGAATCTCCTCAGTTGAGCCACCTTTTTTAGGCTGTGTTCATGCAACTATTTGGCATATGAATGGCATCATCTTGAAGGAGCCCAGTTTCTAGTTCAGGTTCTGAGAGACCACAAACACTTGGAGAACCTTTGTACATCCTGACACCTAAACCAGCACCAGATCCACTGGTCCCTTTTCTTCACCTGATTCAATTTCATTATGACACATCACTAGGGGTGAGAAACAGAAAATCAGATGCTCTGTCCCGAAAGGATGAACTTGCTGAGTCACACTTGGTACAACCATGGTTACACCTCCTTAGGAAAAAGAGGGAGTTAAGATGATTGACAAGCAGGAATAGAGGACAATGAAGTAAATAGCAGTAGCCAAATACAAAATAGCCACTGTAGAGCTGCAGTTGCTTTTCCCTGCCAAATGTAAAGGGCCAACCCAAGAAAGGAAGGCTGAGAAAAGAAAGTCCTTATAAAAGTGCAGTTGTGCAGTTGGGAGAGGGGGAATTAGCAGGGATTAGGAAATTCGATTCCTTAGGAAATGAGAAAAGGCTGCTGTATTATACACCTCCCAAATTCCTTGGCCATATGAAATGTGTGACTATTAAACTTTGGTACAAAGAAAAAATGATGTGGCAACATATCCTTGCTGGAGCTGGGACTCTAGTGGGATGCTAGTTGTCGACAGTGTCAGTCAGTAGCACAGTCATGTACTTTTAATTTTATAAATTGAATTTTTGCCCCATTATTGGCCCACTGATTGATACTTACACTTCTATGTAAAAAACAACCTTTGGCCTCTGATGAAGAGCTGTCTTTGGATGTGTTTGTGCTGGGTGAGCATATCAAGCAAAGAAGTCAATTCTCACCTGCAGGTGCACCATTACTGCTCCTCACTTATTTTCACACCAGCCACCACTCATACTCCTTGGCACTGAAGAAGGGATGTGAGCCTACCTGGGTATCGTGGCTGCATAATGTCATGCTTGTCTTGATTTTATTAACAATTCTCTCAAAAAAAGTTTAAGTTGAACAATTAAATAATCAAATCAGGAAATTGCAAAGCTAAGGATGTATAGGTAACATTAATGATGCCCCCTTTTGTACATACATTATCCTACCATGATGAATAACAAGCTGACACCTCATGTTTCAAATAATGCAAAACTGTATTTAATCCTAGGAATCCCTGAGCTAGGCTGAGCAAATTGAGAAGTAGAGCTGGGCAGGGATGGTATCCCTATCCTCTGTTTGCCAGAAGATGGGAATGGGTGACATGGGATGAATCACTTGATGATAACTGTTCTCTTCATTTCTTCTGGGGCACCTGGCACTGGCCACTGTTGGAAGACCGAGGTTACTGGGCTAGATGGACCTTTGGTCTGACCCAGTATGGCCGTTCTTATGTTGCTTTTTGTTCTTTTAATTTTCTCCAGCAGTGGCATCTGAGACACTATCCGCACTGATGCTGGAGAAAAGCACAATGGGAGTTCATACATCCAGTTGCTGGTCAGGATGCCTGTTTAGAGCTGTTATTCTTCTAAGGGGGAAAGCCTGTAGCTGTTTTGGAGACTAACTTATACCTGTCGCCATTATCAGCTAGTATATGACTTCACAGGCCTTCAGCCCAGCATTCCTAGCAGGGGTGCTGATACTATTTGTATAGTGGGGGTGCTGAGAGCCACTAAACCAAACTGTCACACTGTATATAACGAAAACCACTTCAAGGAGGTGGTGCCACAGCACCCCTAGCACCAGAACCTAAGGACCCAGGTACACTTATTCTGGGTGGTGCTCCTGCCAGTTTGGGTTAGTTTGCTGCTGGGTATGTGTCGGGAAACTTGCACTGCTGTGGCCTGTGCTGATCACCTGTTCTGTGATCAGAGGAATTCAGTCTCTATGGCTGGAATGTCAATCTGCCTTTCGTGAGTATTAAACTCTACAAGAAAAAGAAAATACAAACGAGAACACAAGACTACGTCTGGCCCAGTTCTGGAAACCCTTCATTCATGCAGGTGATCCCATCCGAGTCAATGCAATGACTTGTGAGAGAAAGGAGGGATTATTCTGCCACTCAGTGAGGAGTCCCTGACACACACACACACACACACACACACACGGTCAAAGTGAAAAAGGGTGGCAGTATGGTGCCCTAAGTGATGGGGGTGTTTACAGGTTCCAGGCAGCCGCAAATGTGTAGTAAGCTTAATTTCAGTATGGAAAAGCTCATTTGGATTGTTGTTACTGGTTGAATTACCATAGCACATAGAAGCAGAGTAGGAGCCCATTGTGCTAGATGCTGTACATAGGGGGAAAAAAGACAGACTCTCACTCAAGGAGCTTACAAGCTAAATAACTCATGAACTGCTTTCTTATTAATTTCTGGAGAAAGGGGAAACAAGGACCCAGGAGTGATGAAGACTTACGGCAGATCTACACTATGGGACAATGTCAACCCAAAATATGCAACTCTAGATAGGTGAATACCTTGGCTGGAGTCAACATACCTTAGGTCAGATTACCACAGGGTCTCCACTGCAGGGAGTCAACTGGGGAAACCCTCCTGTTCATTTTCCTTACACTTCCCATTCTGGTGGAGTACCAGAGTTGAGGAGAGAGCAATCTGTAGTTGATTTAGCAGGTCTTTACTTAGACTTGTGAAATTGACCCCGGGGATCAATCGCCGCAGTGCCAATCTCCCAGCGGTAAGTAGAGATGTGCCCTGAGGCATGAAGAGCAGTCACTCATCTCTGTGGCAGAAGGTGTGCTGGAAATTGGGTGGTTCTGCTGAACTCTTTAATCATTCATGCATGGAGGAACAGAGAGGCTCCTGTATGGCCTTGCTCATGTAATTTACATTACCCTGTGAGTTTCTGCACGCTACAGTGAAACAAGCTGGTGCACCTAGAAATAAAAGGGGTGGCAACCTCAACAGAGATTTATCTCTGGAGGTTCTCCAAGGGGAGTTGCATTAAAGGGTGACTGAATCTAGGGCTTAGATGGGGTGGAGAGCAGAGTTAGAGATATGTCAGGACATTACTCTCCTGATAGTCCGTTTCCCTGCCACTGTGATGTATTTCCTCCCAGACAAAGGAACTGGCACAAACTCTACCCTGATCTAATTCCACTGATGTCAGCAGAGTTCCACCAGGGATGAGTGTGGCCCAGTTCTAAAGTGGCGATGGTGGAATAGTGCATAGTAGAGGAGCCGCATTGCTGGCTCCTCTGTAGAACAGCCAATTAGATGCTCATTTCCTGGCTGAGTTACAGCATAGCTCTGTATAGTAGTTTCCCTTCTCATTGCCGCCCTCAGCCAATTGCATCTTAAATCAATACTAGAGGCTCACAGGGTGTGAGCTGTGGAAGAAGCCTGTCGCATATGTGAATGCTTTGTGTGCAGCCACCAGACCAACCTCAGGCTCCGGCCGAGACAAAGAGAGCGAGAGAACTGGTTTAGTCAGAGCATGCAACTAGCTGAACTGGGTCTGCCCTAAGACCAGTGGCAGCAACCCAGGAGAAGAATGAAAGCAGCCTGATAGCTCCGAGCCAGGCAGACCCTTACAGTCTGTCATGCTGGCCCAGATACCCTGGGTTTGCTTTTCTCTCTAATGAGGTCTCTACAGGGCTGCAGAAGACAAGACATCATACTGGGGATTGTGACCCTCTGCCTGACTGCTGGGTGGGCTCTGCAGAGTAAGTGTCCTGAATGAATTTAATCTGTTTGCTTTGTGCTCTCCCCAACTTCTCCCTTTCCCTCACCTTCCCTTCTTTTTCCCACTTCCTTTTACTTGTCCCATTCTCTTTCTTTTCCCCTTTCCTCCTTCCCTTTACCCCTCTCTTCTTTCTCTCTGTCTCTGCCAATCTTTGCTTCTGGTCACTCTCAGCCCTTTGAGCTGTGTATAAACAGCACAGTTCCTAAATCCTTGAGAGTAGGGGAATGCCTGTGTTGTGGCATATACACCTCCAGACTTGGATGCCACACAGTGGACATGTCTACACTGCAATTAAACGCTGCAGGTAGCCCATGCCAGCTGATTCAGGCTCATGGCACCCAGGTTAAGGGGATGTTTAATTGTAGTGTTGGCATTTCAACTGAGGCTGGGCTCTGGGACCCCACAATGGGTGAGGGCAGCTTGAGGAGTAAGTCTACACAGTGCTTGTCCTTAGAAAAGTAGCCAAGGCTGTTCTGACAGCACTTTTCATTCACACGACTGGAGTTTGTGTGTTGTGGGGAATGATATCTACTTTGCTGCTCTTTGCCCAGATGGAGAGAGCACATGCATACAGTAGTGACCCAGCAACACTGGAAACAGGTGTAATTCCCCCCTCTCCAAGCCCCGCACTAAGAAAGGGAAGGCATCTACTAATCCTATTTTCCCTTTATTTTTAAATAAAAGAGAGGCAACAGGAACATTTAGTGCAAACAAACCAAGGCTCAGAGCTCAATTGAGAAATATGACAGTTATCCAAAAGCTAAAATGAGACTTAAAAACACCATGGGTACATTAAAGAGAGTCATCTGAGCTCATCCCGGATGCAGTACAGTCAGTGAAAATAAATCAGAGGCTGAAAGTGCATATGCCACAACACAGGTATGTATTTTAATCTGGTGTTTCCTGTGTTACTTCCAGTGAGGGGATTAATAGAAGCAGCCAGGATAAACAGAGAGAACATTCAAATTGTAGTTAGGAGTGTCTGACAATGACTAGCTGTGAAACTCTGGGCACTTCACTTAACAGTCCTTTAATTTGCACATTTGTAAAGGTTAAATGTAGCCATAAGCCCTTTGGTAATATTACTAATGGTCAATAACATTTCAAAAGGTTTTTCCTGCACAATGTCCAGATATATGCTCTCATAGCTGCCAGCTTTTCTATAAACTCTTAGTCTTCAGTATGCTGTAAATTTATGTAGCCATGTTATAGTCCAATATATGGTATATTAGTTTCAAGTTTGAATTTCTGCAGATTGAATAATTTGTAGTCCTGCATTTGTAGCTGCAGGAGATAGAGATCCTATTATACGAACAATGGTGTCTTACTATCAGCTCAATCTATTCTTACTAATGTATTGGAGGGATTTTTAATTATTCTCTGCAGCTCAGCTCATGTACTCACAGAATCATCTTGCAGTCATTCACCAGAAAATGGATTAGGGTGTAATGTTTGCTTTTGAGGCTGTAGCAATTCTGTTTGGATTGGGCAGGTTCAAGAGTTCCAAGCTGATTGCATGTTACAATATATTTATATGTTTACTTTTCAGATTGCCAGACTGACTAGGTATATTAGACAAAGATTTTAAAATGTTTGCAATTAATTTTATGGCAGAAAATTCAGTCAAAAAATGCATTCTATGAAAGGAGTATATTTACCTTGCAATTACCATGTTTGGGAGCATACCGTGCGTTTATCGAAGCAAATCCCTTTAAAAAGTAAGGTAAAAGGAAAACCTTTGCCATGCACCACAACACATAGACTAAAATGCAGCAATAGAAAATTGATCTTTTAACCACTCTTTTCATGGCACCTAATCTTTTATGGGTAAAAAGTGAAATTGACCCATGTGTAAAGGGGCCTATGAGGAAGGCCTATGTGAGGAGAGCCTTGTATACCCAGAGCAAATGTACATTGTAACACTGCCTTTGTGGTTTTCCCAGTTTACATTGTAACACCGGAAATTCTTGATGATTCCAGATCAAATGTGTTCAGTAAACAAATTCAAAACTGGACCTTTAGCCTTAGCATTGATCTTACAAACCTGTGATCTGAGAATTAAACTGTTTTTAGCATTTTCCACATCACCACCAGTAATAATGATTCCACAGGCAAACACAAGATTGATAGGCCTTGCAGGCATAGCTGAGAGTGGAGGCTGCTGGCAGTTGAACCCATTTATTTTCTTATGTTGGGAGGGGAAATGGAATGTTAAAAGTACATTTTTTCAATTGAGAATTTTATTCTTCTTGTATTTGCTTTTGCTTTGTGATCTCTCCACAAAGCTCCAAACACAGTCCTAAATACAGTTGGGCTACATCTACACTGCAGACTTCTTGCACAGGAAGGCCATTCTTGCACAAAAACTTGCGGAGCGTCTACACTGAACACGCATTCTTGCGCAGATAAATGTACAGTAAAGCAAGAAGGCAAGAGCTCTTGCGCAAGAAGGCAGTGTGGACGGGCAACAGGTTTCTTCCGCAAGAAACCACTATGGCTAAAATTGCCATCAGAGCTTTCTTGTGCAAGAGAGCATCCACATTGCCATGGATGCTTGTGCGCAAAAACACATCTCTTGTGCAAAAGCACATGGCAATGTGGACATGCTCTTGCGTGATAATTTTTGTGCAGAAACTCTTGTGCAAAACAGCTGTAGCACAAGAAAACTGCAGTGTAGACGTAACCTCAGTCTTTTCTGTGGAGGTCATTTACATTCACTGAAAGGTACCTTTATGCTGCCCTAGTGGCATAAAGTGGCTCTCGTGTAGCTAGGGTTGGGATTTCAGTGTTTTCAAGGGTGTAAATATTTGCACATTTGTATTTTTTTCAACTGAGCATAGCAAAAAGGGCCATGAAAAGGATTTAAAGGAGAGGTGGTCACCGAGAGTTCCTCCGGAAAAGATGTTCTAGTAACAACACAAAACTTATGATTTATTCTTCCCGGTGTTTTGGGTCAATAACTGAGGATTTCAGTCTCCACACATCCTTCACCAGCACTGTTTTTACTATTATTTGCATACCAAATGTCTGATTTTCATATTACAGCTGTTTCATCCAAATGTGCTTGCAAAAAAAAGTGCATGCACAATTACTGTGCTTACCCATATAAATCTGGTATTTGTACGTTCAATGGGCCTATTTGATTATAGCTGGGCAAGGTGTGTGCACAACTTCCTGATTTGATCCCACAATCCTGGCAACTGTGTGTGCTTTTGGATTCACCACTGTCATTGAAAATCAAGCCCTAAACCTCTATGCAAATTAGACATAATTACCTGTGAATTATAAGTCTGATAAATAATTGGCTGCCTTTATGTAGTTTATATATTGCTGTTATCTCAAATTATTCATTACACTTTATAATAGTAATGTATAAACAATTTGATAGTAGTGCTTCTGTAGACCTGAAAACATTGTGGGTCACTTGCTAAGTAAGTGTGCACTTATACCCACAACCATACTTGCTCTTTTGGCCCATGCAATTAACTTACACAGCAAGTTACCCCAGCAATGATGAGTCATTTTTCTATTAAATGCAAGGTTTTAGAGTAAAACCTGTGAAATAATTGTAATTGCCTGTGAAATATGAATGATGTGTATTTATTTGTATTGTTCTATGGCATGAAGTAAATGGTCCAGTTTCATACAATTATATTTATGTTCAGTGTACGTGATCATACTAGTTATACCACTTGGTAGAATTGGCATATCAGAAAGACAAAAAATGGGTGTCTGATATTTGTAATTGGGACAGGACTTTGGAAATTTCAAGAGTGACATTCAGATTTTTAGTTTCAAGAGCCTAGCAAGTATGCTGTAATATGTTCACATTGTAAGGTACTGACTTTCAGTAGAGTGGGGAGGGCTAATGTTGCCCACAGAGCGTGTGGTGTATAGCTATTGGGCTAGTATCCCTTTAACTATCTGGTGAGCATTATTGTGGCTCTTATTGTTGTCTGTGTTTCAGAAGCCACCACAGTCCTGTCAGCACAGCAGTATGTATATGTAGCTATGCTTTGCATGTTTGATATATTTAAAAAGCACAGTAAGTTAAACCCCTAGTGCCCATGGGGTTCCTTCCTATAAATTATTGGTAAAGAGTAGGAGACATAACAGTGGATAAGGGACTTGCCATTATGATAAATGGGTGATTGCTGTTAAACTCCTTTGGTAGAGTTGAGTGTTTGGGAGCTGAAGAAACAGAGTTTTAATTCAAGGTGAGTAAGTAATTGTGTCAGTTTAAAAAGCTTTTTCTTGGAATCTCCTGGGTTTCATTATTCTTGTGTGTATTTCTCTGTATCTACAGATAGGTACTTCTAAGTGCTGCAGACAGGTGATAGTTGCTGTTTTAACTTTGCAGTTTCAGCCAAAGAATATTTTATTCTTCACTTTTTTCAAACTTTATTAATACAAAGCTGTCCATCCAATGCTCCAGACAAATGTGCAATGCTTAACAATTACACAATAATGAACAGGAGCAATGAAGAGAAAAGTAAGTCTCAGGCAAAGCAGGAAATTGAATGTGGTCTTCTACATGGCAAGTGAGTGCCGCAACCCTAGGCTATTTGTGGGGGATGTGGATATGAATCACCTCGCTCTCTTTCCAATGCAAAATAGGATTTTTATTTTTGAAATGTCACAGGATGGGAAAACTTCTTCCTTCTCCACTTTAGTCAGTGTCTCTTTGTAAGTGATCATAGTCTGACTGTACTAATGGAGTCAGAACTACATTCTGACAGCATCCTCTTGATTTGCCGTTACACAAAGAACAGACACCAATGTCACAATGAAACTATTTTCAATTCACAGAAATTTCCCCATATTATCATTTATAAAGAACAACTGTAGGAAAGTACTTTTCAGCAGTCTGTGGAACGCTGCTAGGAGATCTGCAAAGCCTGTTTGGTACAAGACAAGATGTTTGGCATCTATCTGCCCTTGGTGGGGGCATGTCCTGTTCACTGCAACCCAGTCCAGGTCCACTTTAGGACTTCCATAAGATTTTTTTTAATCTCAACCATCAGTTGGTTTATTTAATATTTTCTTGATATTACTTTGCATATAAACAGAGGCCAGCTATGAGAGAGGAAGCATGGCCTGATGGTTATGGCACCAGCTTGAGACATGGGAGTCTCTGATTCAGCTCCCTGCCCCACCAGTGGCTTCCTATCTGAGTTGTTTAGTTTCTTAGTTCCCCATCTGTACAATGGGGATATTAGCACTGCACTTCTTCCCAGAGATGTGGTGAGGATAAATGCATTAACGCTTATGAAGTGCTCAGCTTCCTTAGTGATGGGGCCCATGTACGAACCACAGATAGCTACCTCAAGGGTTGAATGGGAGGGCTATGAAAGGTGGCATCCCCAAGTGATGTCTCTAACTCAGAAAGTGTCCCACTGTGTGAAAAAGATTCAAAGCCATGGCTCTGCAGGGTATATTTTATGTATGATGACAGTACGTATATTAAATAGCTGATGGCACAACACACAGATGTTGGGATCAAAGCTCACTTTGCTAGGGAATATATAAGAGCCACACCCATTCTGTCTTTTGTGTTCTCTGCCGATGCATTCAATTTTATTACAGCTGGAGTTGAGACAGATTTGCAATGTCTCCTAGCAAATGCTGTACGTGGGCATGACATTCCTGTGGAAATATGTTTCACTTCTGCAAGAATTCTAAGCTAATCCAACATTAAATAGAGTTAATATCATTAATCATGCTGAATTCTTTCACTTTTCTCCTGTAAATAAAGCACATTGCTGTAGGACTTTAATTGCAAACATTTCTTCTTGTAAGTATTACTAGCAGGTCCGGGTTAAAGGATTTTGAGGCCATTGCACTATGGAAATTGTATTTACATGGCAATTGCCTGTCTAGGCAAAACTGCAGTGTGCTGCTCATCTCCTTCTGTTCCCTAGAACACAGGTTCTCAACTAAGGGGGTGCACCCCGCTAGGGGCAGCATTTGACTTTCTGGTGGAGTGTGGCAAGCCTTCTGATAGCTTGGCAGCTATGAAAGAAGTGAAAGGTCCCAGCGCCAGGTCCCAGCGTCACTCATGGGTTTGGCCTGATCACATCGCCACTATGACAGGCAGCAGGGCCAACTCAGAATGAGAGGTATTGCATGTGGGGTCACAGCACCACTCAGGTGTTGGGGGGTGGATGTGCCATGGTCAGTGGCCCCTATGGAAAGAGATCTGTGCAAGGCCACTGAGTGTACATTGGTCAATCTAGGCCTGAATCCTGGCACATTTTTAAAATGTAGGCCCAGATTCTGAACAGTGACTTGTAATTTGGGGTGATCTGAGACAATTCAGCTTAGCTGCAAGGGAAGATAAGTACACAGGTGTCTTGGATAGTTTTTAAAATCTCAGTCTCTATCTGTTTACTCATTTGGGCTCTGCCGTGTCAACCAAAGTTTGTTACTCCTAACAGAGGGACAAATCCTGGCCCCACTGAAGCTAATGAGAGCTAGGGTTGTCATATTTCAGGTTCCCAAAAATGAGGACACGTGGGAGGAGGGTGGGGGAAGAAAGCTGGGAGTGTACAGTCAGCAGTGCAGGAAGGTACCAGTGATGGGGGTACTTACTGGAGGTGGGGGGAAGTGTTGCTCCCTGTCATGGTGGCAGGGCAGCTGGCCCAAGCCCAGGATGCAGTAAAAGCTATCAGTTAGCGACACTGTGTGGGACCCCCTTCCCAGGGGTGGTAACTGGAAGGTTAGATCCGCCATTGTGGCTTGCCGGAGAATGGACCAATCCGTTGTGGATGCATGGGAAGGCCCAATCAGGCAGTGAACCAATCATGGCTCTCTCTGATGTGCAGCTAATCTACTCTGCAGAAAATCCAGATACCGCTTATTTGAAAACCACTCCAGAATTGAGAGAGCATGCTCAAAAAAGGCTTTGCCCGGAAACCAAGACATATAGTCACTCTGAATGGAGGTCACACACACATACTGCCCTGGTAGAGCTGGCTGGGCACTCCCCAGACTGCTGTGTTTGTGGCCTACTTTCCTGGGCATTCTGTTTTGCAAGTTGGCTGAGTTGAACAGAATCCAGGCATTGCTCCTTGCTGGGGTCTTTAGGTACACTACCTGGGTGCAGATCACCTGTCTAGCACCCCCTCCTGAGAGCTGAGACCACCCAGTCTCACTGCTTAGCCCTTTGACTAATGCTGATCCCTCCAGGTCCCCGGTAATTTAAGCCACACTCCTGTTGCGTGTGTTCTCTGGTTACTCAGGTGTATAGTTTAATTCTTCAGGACATGTCCTGGGAGAGGCATAAGGATCTTGTGCAAAACAGGGGAGTTGTGCAAAAAAAAAAAAAAAAAAAAAAGTCCACACTGCTTCTTTTTGCGCAAAAACCTCTTGCACAAAAAGAAATGGCCCCAGAGCCACCAGGCTCTCAGCTCCTTGGCCAGCACCGGGGCTGCTGGGGCTCCTCTGCCCCAAGGCTGCCAGACACCACTGCCCCAGAGCTGCCGGGGCTTTCCTGCTCTGGGGCCACCAGGGCTCAGCTATCTCAGGGCCATTGGGGCTCAACTGTTCTGGGGCCACCAGAGCTCCATGGCCAACCATGGGCTTCTTCCCTGGGCCACTGGAGCTCCGTGGCCAGCCCCAGGTCTTCTGGCACTCCATGGCCCTGAGGCTGCAAGGGCGCCATTTCGGGGGAAGGGGGGGCAGCAGCCATGTGCTCCGGGACGCGGCTTGCTTTTCATCCCGTTCCCTGGACGCTGAAGGAGTGAGGGGCGGGGGTGTGCTTGCATTCTGTGCATTCCTCTCACACCTGGCTGGTGAAGGGCGCTGCCAGCCAGGTGTGAGAGAAATGCACGTACTTCCCCCCACTCCCGTAGGCTGTGTCTACACTGGCCACTTATTCCGGAAAATCAGCCGCTTTTCCAGAATAACTTGCCAGCTGTCTACACTGGCCCCTTGAATTTTCAGAAAAGCACTGACGATCTACTGTAAAATCATCAGTGCTTTTCCGGAAAAACTATGCTGCTCCCATTCAGGCAAAAGTCCTTTTCAGGAAAACTGTTCCGGAAAAGGGCCAGTGTAGACAGCACAGATTTCTTTTCCGCAAAAAAGCCCCGATTGCGAAAATGACGATCAGGGCTTTTTTGCGGAAAAGCGCGTCTACATTGGCACGGACGCTTTTCCAGAAAAAGTGCTTTTCCTGAAAAGCATCCTGCCAATGTAGACGCGCTTTTTCTGGAAATACTTATAACGGAAAACTGTTCCATTTTAAGCATTTCTGGAAAAGGGTGCCAGTGTAGACGTAGCCTTAGTGTCCGGGGAATGGGATGAAAAGCAAGCTGTGTCCTGGAGCGCATGGCTGCTGCACTCACTACCCTCCCGAAATGGCGCCCTGGCGAGGCTGCCCCAGGCTCTGTTGCTACAAGCCGGGGCTCTCTGACAGACCACGGATGTTGCTGGACCAGAGAGTCTTAGACCAGAGAGGCTCAACCTGCAGATGGTTAAAATACATTAAATGTGTTCCTAATTTTACTTTCTCATGTCAGCGTTTGCTGTAGTTGCCACTGGGATGTGATTTGATCATGATTGATAGGAGAAATGCCACTGTAATAACAGATGGAAGGAGAGGTGATGCATGAAAATTTCTGAATTAAGGTGTGATGTACACTCTGAAAATCCCAAGAAGTCCTGCTATAGCTGATTCTGTGTTTATGGAGAGGAAGGGTGGGTCAGTGTTAGCCTGTGACACTTGGGACACTTGGGTCCAATTTCCTCCTCTACCCCAGGCTTTCTTTGTGACCTTGGGTAAGTCACTTAGTTTTTCAATGCCCCATCTGTAAAGTGGAATAATTTCACTTCCTTACCTCACCAGGATGTTTTGAGAAAACTACCATAATGGGGCCTTGTTAGTACCTAAGATAGATAAACTGAAAACAAACCAGGAAACAAAAACAACAGCTACTCTGTCCATACTTTTAAATGCAGTCGGACAATATTTAAAAATGTATATATTGAAAGGCAAGATTCCTAAAAGCTAATAGCGACTTTGGCTTGCCAACTCGAGACACCTTTCTGCCTGGGATCCAGCTTTGAGGATGCTGAGTGAGCATCCATACTTAGGCCACACAAAGGTGTCCCCAGTTGAGCATTCAGAGATTGAAGTACACAAAGTCGCTAGTCAGTTAAGAAAATCTGTACCTCTGTTCCTTGTACCATAAAGAAAAAAAAATGCTACTGTTTAAGCCTGGCATTAGCCTAAAATCTGATCTGTTCCTACCAATTAGCCATTGTTATGCTGATCACTCTAAGGTAGGAACTGCCATCGCTGTAAGTCAGGTTCACTGTATAACTGCATCAACACTCACTGCCAACCCTCATTTGTTTTGCAGCACAACAAGGAGTGTCTTTACTTGTCCCACAACCCAATATAAACGCCTCAGTGACACAAAATATTCTCCTCTCTGTTGAATATTCTTGCAAAGGGATAGCCACCGTTGAGTGGAAGCATGTGTCCAGCTGGGGCACCAACAAAATTGTGGAGTGGAAACCAGGGAGTTATACTAACATATCCAGAAGTTACAAAGAGCGAGTGAATACTTATGAAAACGGCTCTATACAGCTTCTGAATGTAGGCGTGAGAGACGCTGGTTATTATGTTGTCACCATAACGGAAGACTTGGGAACCAATGTCTACGGCACCATTATATTAAGTGTTTATGGTATGAACTAGTCAGTAGTTATTTTATTCTACCATTGAAATGTACATGTGCGCTCATGACCAACTTCATCATGTTATGTTTTTCCCCCCTCAGAGATTATCTATGAAGACTTACATTTTGTAGCTGTCTTCTTTGCATTTCTCACTGCTGTGTCTGCAGTTTTAGTGTGCTTCATGTGGTTCTGTAATAAATCTGTGCATCTATTCCAGAATAAGAGACACAAGCTTACAGGTAACTTTCTGTGCATGGACATCATCATGGAAGGTGGTTTCCATGCCTAAATTAAGAACATTGGTCCACTTGTGATTTGGTCCTGGGAGGTGCTGACTTCAATGAGAGTTATTGATCCTCAAGATCAAGCCTCTGCTATAGACCTATTAAAATTGCTAGCTTTTGTTAAAAAGTCCTACTTATAATTAGAAAGCACTGGGAAATGTATTATAGGGAACAACTCTGAATTGGTGGGGAGACCATCAGGCAACCTCCTGGATGTACTAGCTGGGTAACAGCCAAGATGATATGTTACTGGCTTATGCTACAGAGAATAAGCTTTCTTCTTTATCCAGATCCTCTCCAACCCTTCACAAGTTTCAGGCTCTCAACCATCTTCCTTCTCAATACAGACTTTCCAGTAGCTTCTTCCTGTTAGTAAAAAGTCTGTATTTTTGCTTGACAGGACACAATTTAAACCTTTCTATTGTGACCAAGCAGGAAAAAAAATAAAACTTTTACCAGACAAGTGTAATCCAGAGGCACTGAGACCATTGACAAAGTACAGTGAAGGCTGCTCTGCAGCCTTCATTGAGAGCCAGTTGATGTTTAGCTCATGCAATAAAGGAACATGGCTTTAGCCCCTAACGTCAGAGGTTTAGTCCCTCCTGTGGACTCCATTGGCTTTACATAGGTAAAGATCACTTAAGTATCTCAGGCTGTGTAAACTAAATCATCTTTTCTAAAAAACTCTGCTGAAGACAATGAGTTGTCAAGGGGATGAATTTGGGGTTCAGTAGGTCTTTTCCCTCTCTTACTTATATGCCTGTAAGACCCCAAAAAGTTTTCATGAATACATGGCATAATATTTCTGTGACTTCTGTTACAGATGTAAACATTTTCAGAGTGGGCACTGATTATACATTGCACAGCTTTCCCTAAGAGAACATTTACTCAGCCTTTTAGTGGAGGGTCATTTTGTACAAGACATAGTTCATGGGCACAGATGCAGACAGTAGGATATTCGACGCAACAACAAAACAGAGTCTATTGTACTAGATCCAGCTAATGATCCATCAGCTTCAGTAACCCCAAGGGCATTGTCTAACTCAGGGGCACACAAGTATAACGGGCTTTGCCGGAAGACGCAATGCAAATGAAATGAGGATTAGCATTTTCTTGCATTTAATTTGCATAATCTCTTCCAATTCATTTTTGCACAAAAACAAGCAGTGTGGACGTTTAAATTTTGTGCAAAAAACCCTTTTTGTGCAAGATCCTTAAACCTCCCCGGGACATGAATAGGCGCTGCAATGACTGTGCTTGGGGTGGAGGCAGTGTGTCGTCTCCCCTTCCCCTGGCATGTGGCCCTAGCACTTACCAAGATCTTGGTGTGGTCTCCCAATCTAAAATTATTGCCCACCCCTGCTCTAAATAGAGCACAGTGCTGAGAGTTCCCTCATTTTCCCCATCAAAGCATTTGCAATCTTCTGCTATTTTTGCTGGGAGTCCTGAATTCAGAAATTTGCTCAGAGAAGGTCTCCACCTCGGAAACTCACCAGTGTGATGTTCCACCAGAATCAGGGTTTTGTGAACTTCAGAGAAAAGTGCAACCTTTCTCTGTCTGGCCAACTTGGGAATGAATGCTGGTGTCCAGTCAGTCACAACAGCTTACTGGTCTTCTCTTTGAAGTAACTGGTATCACTTATGTTTTAAATATGGTGAAGGACAATGTATGTGGTTAACTGAAATATTTTTAAATACCTTTACTAAATTTTTAAAACCCCCCCCCCCCCCAGTGTCATCATATCTGAGCAAGTTTGTACTAATGTCAAAAGGTTGAAAGGGGCTCTGATACTAAAATTAGGTGAATTGTTAATTTTGGAATGTTGGTCTTTAATTGATTTTCAGATCAATAACTTTATCTTTTTATTTGCAGCAAGAACAGCTGAGGAGATTGAATTGCAAACCATTGAGTGTTAGCCAAAAACTGTTTAATACCAAATAACATTTCTACCTCAAGAGAAAATAATGGTAAAGGCAAGGGAGGGAACCAACAAAAGGTAAAGTTTTTATACAATCTTTTTTAACATGACTGAAAGAGAAACTTTCTGACTTTCCAATAAGACAAACGTCAACTGAAGAGGGAATCAGAACAGTCCCTATGAAGGCTCCTGGAAGTCTGAAGATTTCAGTTCTAACATTTACGCTGGACAAGGTCAAAGTGTACAGAATGCTTACTATGTTAAGCATGAGGACTATTTATAGGCTCTATAATAAGATCGATAGCCTGCATCACTGTCTTTCAAAAAAGAACCAAACCAGCCATATTATTTTGGCTACATAATTATGGTTAATACAAAGAGGACATGATCAGGGTCTTAACAGACACTTCTGTTTTGCTAACGAGGACCCATCTAGTGCAAGTTTCCCATCAAAAAAAGGCAGCAGACCAGACAGCAACGTTGTTCAATTATACATTACTGTATTTATTATTCATTTTTTAAATATAAAGGACAATATACCATAATACTGCACGTTATACTGCTATCTTCAGAAAAAAAATTGCTGAAGCTTCTGAAGATTATTATACTTCATCATGAGACAGAAAAGTGAATGGGAGACAATGACCAGGAGGTTGAAATTCACTCCGGGTCTTTGATTGTTTACATTGTTCCATGATATTAATGTAACTTAACATTTTTACTGTAAGTTAAACAATGAACAATGCAAAGGTACAGAAGATGACAGTCAATCAATAGACTGTGTTTAGAACAGTCAGAAAATGTAAAGATTCTGGGGGGGTGTGGGGGGGTTATCGAAAAGTGACCTAGACCTTAATTAAATGAATTAACGAATTCTGGTCTGTATCTGCGTGCTGCACTTAAGGTTACTTTCAGTCCTCTGGGTGGAATAATGTTGGCTTTTTGAAACAGAAAGCATTACAGTTTGTTTATTTAACAAAGTTTAAAAGCATTAAGCTCTAAATTATCTGTTTTTTGTAAAAAGAGAAGAATACTATGAAATAAACCTTGAAATATAGACACACTGGATCAATTTGTATCTGAAGTGACATCTATAATCTTAAATACTTTTCTGATCCTTATTATCATAGGAACAAAGCGCCGCATGTTCTTTAATGTATTTATCCGCACAACACTCCTGTGAGGTTGGGAAGCGCTATCACTGCCATTTTATGGATTGAAAAATCAGTGGAAAAAAGGCGCTTTTGAAAATCCCAGGGGGCACCGATCAGTTTCGAAAATCACCTATATACCTTTATAAATCAGGCCTTAAGTAACTTGCCCAAGATCACATAGGAGGGTTGTGGTAGAAAAAGGATTTTAGCCCAGCATTTGAAAGAACTAGATTCATGTTCTAACCACTATACAATCTTTTCTTTTATGTTTGCTTTTATCTTAATATAACTCCCAAAAGAATGTTATAAGTTTCAGGGGAGTGGCTGTGGTCTGCAGAAATAGTACCTGAAACATGTGAAAGAATGCATTCAAAAATGTAGCCTGCTAAGCAACTTAGAAAGCAAAAGTCATTTTGTAACATTATATAGTCCTGTCACCTAGGTTCCCAATTTTCCCAACCAGATGGACTGGACACTATTGCCAAACTGTTTGGTCAGGAAAGTTGGCAACGCTACACTCTCTAAATCCAGACTTGTCCTTATGCTGTGTGGCAGACCTTCAAGCAGCCCCCTAGTGTAATAGAAAGATTGCAGAAGATTCAGGAAGTGGGAATTTTCTCTCTCAGTGTTGAATCAACATGCCAGCATAGTTCTCCTCCCCACTTCATGCTACTTGACATGCCAATTTTGAGATGAACTTTAAGTCTACCCACATGCAGCCATGAAAAATTGCATGGCATTTTCTGTTACCACAGGAAAGGGAGAGGGTAGCTTCACTGTTCTAATCACATGCTAATTCAGATACGGTTAATTGCATTTTAACTGCTGCCTGAAGTTTCAACTGGACTTAGTATTCATCACTTGCTGTTGTGCTTCACTGCATTTCACTAATGAATAATGTGATTCCTAATTTTCCTGAGAGCAGTAATGTCGCACCTTATTATCTATAAAGCAAGAGCCACAGAAGACAATCACTACTGAAGCTTTCACTATTTGTTACTTTAAGGACCTATTTCACAAATATATTCGCATAATCCATACGGGGAAAAAATCACAAGCTCAACAAAATACAAAATGTACATGCATGATATAACTGCTCTACATTTCCGTGTTGATGACATTCCCAAGGCCCCTTCTAAGTAGAGAAGACCAAACCAGGAATAGTTAGAAACTGGACTGCAAATTGTAACCAACAAGAAAGTAACGGTGCCATAAAAGGAAAATACAGATAAACTTGATTCAACTACCTGTGTATGGCAGATTATATTGCATTAATTTCTTCACTGACAACCACTGAGTACATGCCATCTCCAGGGGGCATCATTTCCCTTATCTGCTACAGGAAAGTGTATGAATGTGGACATGCACTTATTACATCAGAGATCTCCTGAAAATGAGAAACATGCCAGAAATTTATTCTTTCAGACAATATCATACATTGGGAAACTCTGTAACTCAGAGGCCACAAATGGCCCAAAAAAGAATTGAATTTTGGTATGTTTGTATAGCATCCTTCCTCAAAAAGTGCTTTACAGTGACTATGTATACATACAGTATAATATTGATACTGTTACAGGGCACAGAACAAGCTACAGTTTTTGTTGTGCAAACATTTTGATTATTTTTGTGGCTTTATCCTTAATGATTTAAGCCGGGGTTCTCAAACTTTGTCATACCGTGACCCCGCTCTAAGTTGCTGCAACCTCACTCTAAGTTGCTTGCAATCCCCCAGAGGGGTCAAGACCCACAGTTTGAGAAATGCGGATTTAAGCCTTTAATGTGAAACTGACCACTTCAGGATCGAAGTGCGTATAGTACTGATGCTGGACATGAGCAAACAAAACTTAAGGGACTTGCATTAGGATACAGGAAATACCAAAATATCATCTCATTGACTGATACTTGCTCCCTAAACAATTTCAAGAAATATTCAACAAATGAATATATGTACAGTAATGCACTATCAAAGGCTATTTAGCATCTGTATCTTTGAGTTACTTCCTCTTAGCATTTTTTAGTATTGTATTTAAATAGGACAATCTGAAGATTTAAAATGCATTATAACAGCATGAAAATGTCTCACTATTTATGATAGTTACTTTTTGCATTTCTTTCAGTTTGATTAATGAAATATTGATTTCATGTCTCTCTCCTCAACTATTCAATTTTGCTTACAGGTGCTAGCCGTCCACTTCCAGATACTAATGCATTAGCTGGATATTGCAACAGGCGAGTTCCAAACAGCAGAGGAATATTTAAAAAATAGTTGCAGTAGTTTATAAAGACAGTAGCATATTTACTGTTACCTTACAAGAAATCTACATTTTAATCCAAATTTAACCTGTATCTTCCTTTATGGAGAGACTCTTTTGTTTTATAAATCTTTTTTTCCCCACATGTACCATCATTGCAAGTAAGGTTTAGCAAAGCTAAACCACCTGGAATTACATCTCACATGCTACTGGTGAAATAATTGAGATATTTATAGCTTTTTGTTTCAATAGTTGGGAGCAATGTTTCCTCTAATCTTTTCCATCCAGGTGTGGATTTTTTTTCATCCATGCACATAATAAAATTTTTGTGTGTACTGAGGTCTGTGCACCATTCGTAGAAACAAAAACCTAGATGTGGGCACTCTGCTAATCAACTGGGTCACATTTACATCTCTCCAGAGTGGCCGCACAAGCACACAGCTTGTAGGGAGTACTGGCGAGGGGTGGGCGGGTGATTTCAGTTGATATATACTAACATGGCTACCCCAGCACATTAGCTGCAAGATTTACTTAGAATATTTCAACCTATGTCTAAGCAATTACGAAACCTTCCATTAAAATGTCCATTTCTAGTAGACTGCTTTGAAAAATCTCAACCTTAATGACTGAATTGCCTATCACTGTGCGGTTAGCTATTAGAAGGAAAGACTACCAAAATTTTCATATTTGGGTGTCTGAAATTAGGTACTTAGCACTGTGATGGGTTTAGTCACAGAGATCTCCTGAGACAGTCACTTCATGGACTGATCATGCCACTGAGCCTGCCTACCTGCCCTCTGAAGTGCCCCACACCCTGTCCTGCTGAGCCAAAACCTCAGGCCTCCTACAGCAAAGACACAGAGGTAAGGGCACAGCCCACAGCAGAGTGACACGGACTAAGGGCAGTTCAACTCTGGAATGGCTCAGCCACAGGAACTTAACACAGCACGCAGGTGCACAGCCCCAGTGGAACCAGAATCCCATCTAAATCTATCTTACTCAGCATAAAAGTTTTATAGAGAGCATGCTCATGAGTTGTTTGTTCACTCTTTTTACTAAGGAAAGAGATGCACAGCTATTGTCTCTGCCAACTGCAGTTATTTACTTCAAGTTAGTAAACAAAAGTGATTTTATTAGATACGAAAAGTAAAATTTAAGTGGTTGCAAGTGATAAATTACTAAGCAAAATAAAAACAACACACACTAGGTGAGCTTAATACATTAAGAAACTTGTTACATGCAATATCTCACCCTAATAGTAGTTCTAATTAATCTTTTCTCACAAGCTAAGCAGCTTCTAGCTTGGGCACAATCCTACTCCCTCTTGTTTTTAATGTTCCCAGTAGTGATCTGGGTGGTAAGCCAAGAGTGTCTTGGACTACGTCTAGATTGGCGTGATTTTCCACAATGCTTTTAATGGAAAAGTTTTTCCGTTAAAAGCATTTGCGGAAAAGAGCATCTAGATTGGCACGGACGCTTTTGCGCAAAAGCGTCCGTGCCAATCTAGACGCAGTTTTGCGCAAGAAAGCCCCGATTGCCATTTTTACCATCGGGGCTTTTTTGTGCAAAACAGTACTGAGCTGTCTACACTGGCCCTCTTGCGCAAAAGCATTTGCGCAAGAGGGCTTTTTCCTGAACGGGAGCAGCATAGTATTTGCGGAAGAACACTGACAATCTTACATCAGATCGTCAGTGTTCTTGCGCAAATTCAAGTGGCCAGTGTAGATAGCTGGCAAGTTTTTCCACAAAAGCAACTGCTTTTGCGGAAAAACTTGCCAGTCTAGACACAGCCTTGGTGTCTGGCAACTGCCAACCCCCTATTGTTTGATTCCCTGCCTATAAATAGATTTTGCCCCAGACAGAAATCCTTTGGCTATGTCTATGCTGCCCTCATTTTGCACAAAAAATATGCAAATGAGGCAAAGCATGGAATATTGCCACACCTCATTTGCATAATTAATGAGGCTCCGTTTTTGCGCAAGAGGCTTTTGCGCAAAAAGGAGCCATGTAGACAGAGCCTTCGCCTCATTTGCATATTTTTTGCGCAAAAAACCTCTTTTGTGCAAGTCATTCTTTTGCATTTTTTCCAGGCAGAATGGCTCTTGCACAAGAAGAGGGGTTTTGCGCAAAAAGATACGCAAATGAGGAAAAGGCTCCATCTACACGGCTCCTTTTTGCGCAAGCCTCTTGTGCCAAAAAAGAGCCTAATTAATTATGCAAATGAGGCACAGCGATATTCCACGCATCGCCTCACTTGCTTATTATTTGCACAAAATGGGGGCAGTGTAGACATAGCCATCATATTTAGTTTCAATCCTTTCCCTTCTCATAGAAAAGTGTGGCATCCAACATGGGTCCCAGCATCAGGAGACCTGACCACATGTCTTGGCAGGCCCGACCACAGTCCAGGCTTACAGGAAGAACAAGGCTATTCACAGATCATTGCCAGGAGTACCAGGCCATTAAGTTCATTAAGTGCCACTAATGGCCTTCATTAAACACATCTAGATACATAAAATTTATACAGGTTGGGCCTCCCTAATCCAGCACCCTCAGGATCTGACCAGTCCTAGAAGAGGGATTTTTGACAGGCTAGAGAAGGTCATTTCTGGCCCCCCAACCACCACCCACCCCAGCTCTGGTCCAGCCTCACCCCACTCCCAGCAGTCCTGCCATCGGGTTCCCAGCACTGCTCCGGCCAGCCTCATTGCCCTGCCTGCCCGCAGGGCTTCCAGCCACCAGCCCTCCATTAGCAAGGCTTCCAATCACTAGCCTTCCAGCCACTAGGTCCTAGAACATCCATGGTTCTGCCAGATCACGAAAGGTGCCAGACCAGAGAGTCCCAGTTAAGAGAGGTTCAATATGTTATTCATATTTCTTAAGTGCAGGACCTGTGACTAGAAAAGTCATTGTTCAGAATCTATCTGACCATGACTGATTTATGGTAATCCTTGAATGAAATCTGCTAGTTGTATCAATTTATCCAGATCACAAACTGTAACTAGGTACATGAGGGACACAATATGAATGCCTATTCATAGTCCCAGTGCAAAGAACTGGGACTAAGCCAATAATTTATAACAAACAAACTGTTAGACTTTTTGCTCTGTTTGGTAGAATGTGAACAGATTGAGGTCTGAAGTTATTCTTCAGTGTTGCTTTAGCTTTGCTATGGGGGAATATGAAAGAGGTAGCATCTCACTGCCCTGCACCAAGAGCTTATGAAGAACAGGATGAGGAATAAATACAGGAATGATATATGCACACAAATAGAATATATACATTCAGTAGATTACAAGCTTTTCAGTGACAAGTTACATGCCACATTTTGCGTAAAGCATATTAAAGTTAGGCACACTCCATAAAGGACATGGAGATGGAACATCACAAGCATTTGTGAAACTAAGGCTGCAGGGAACTCCCATTGATATCTCTGAAAACTCAGCATTTTTGGACAGACTCTTATTAAGGTGTCTAAGCATGGATTTAGGAACCTCTAACTTTGGAAACCCTATCACCAGACTCACTCAATGCCAGGGGTGCCTCCTCCTGGTCACGCTAGAGATTATCTTTCAGGTGCTGCACATGCCTTTGGTCTCTACACCCTTCATTCTCTCACCCTGCAGCCCATCTTGCTCCAGGAGCTGCAATTTCTTCTTCATGACTTGGTCTATGGACAGGTCTCTATGGGTACGTCTAGACTACAGGCTTTTGTTGACAGAGGTTTTGTCGACAGATACTATCAAAAAAGCTTCTGTCGACAAAGAGCGTCTAGACTACATCCAGTTCTGTTGACAAAGCAAGCCGCTTTGTTGACATGAGAGTGTAGACGCAAAGGACAGTGTAGATGCAATAACGCCTTCTGTCGACAGAACTCTGTCGACAAAAAGCATTATTCCTCGTAGAATGAGGTTTACCGCCGTTGACAAAACTGCCGAGTTCTGTCGATGTTATGTCGACAGAACTCGGCGGTAGTGTAGACGAGATATAGGTTTGTCGACAAAAGTCCACTTTTGTTGACAAAACCCTGTAGTCTAGACACACCCTATGATTCCTTCCCTCCCTTCTGCGGAATCAAAGGGTACGTCTATACTACAGGCTTTTGTCGACAGATACAAAGAGTGTCTAGACTACAGCCAGTTCTGTCAACAAAGCAAGCTGCTTTTTCAACAGAAAGTCTAGATGCTCTCTTTTGAAAAAGTAGTGTGGACGCAATAGCACCTTTTCTTGACAGAACTCTGTTGACAAAGGCGTTATTCCTCGTAGACTGAGGTTTACTGCCATCAACAAAACTGCCGCGTTCTGTCAACTTACCATCGACAGAACTCGGCGGTAGTGTAGATGCAGGTATAGTTTTGCCGACAAAAGTCTAAACACACCCAAAGTCTCTTGGGGCAAACTATCCCAGGCACTGTGCTCTCCACTGCTAGTCTGTGCCACTTCCCAGTGGCTGGTAGGGAAACCCCAACCTGCTCTTTACTCCAGGTTCCAGTGCAGGAATCCTTTGAACAGCACAAGATGACTCTCCTAAACCTTACTGCTTTTCCCCAGAGCCTTTCCTGCCTATCCGCCCCCTTTACTCTGGGCTTGCCAACAAACTGTAGACCACACATCTTAGTCCCAAACCTACCTCCCTTCACCTAAGGACTGCAGGGAAGTAGTCTCCTGTCAGCCCCTTCTGCCTGGCTCCCGCTACAGATGCAGCCCGGGCAGTTAATTGGCCCACCTAGCCACTGTAAAATATTCAGACCTCATGTGGGATGTGATCTAGGCTCTCAAGTTGGCTCCTGCATGAGGAAGGCGGAATAAGGGACCACCTGGAGGTGGGGTGGGGAAAAGGGCATTCTCCTGGGGTGCAGCAGTTTGGGGGTTTGAGACCTACCTCTCCTGGGAGCAGCTAGACAGCCAATACTGGCTGCACCGGGGTTGGAGCTGGCTCCTGTATTAGGAAGGCAGGATAAGGGACATGCTTAAGGGAGGGAAGTGAGCTGGATTCCGGAATGGCTTAGGGGAAAAGGTAATTGCCTAGTAGAACTGTGGGTGGTGGGTTCAAGTCTAGCCTCCCCTCTCCTAGAAGCAGCTCTCCTGGAACACAGGCACTCACTAATGGATCTAAAAGTATATTTTTTCACAGCAATTTCAAAAGGCCCCTGGAGAGAGAAACTACAGAAATGGGTTTCATTTACAAGTCTGACACCTTCCTTGAACAGAGGTTTAAACAAAGACTTGCCCTGGATATACTGCTACTTTCCACATCTTGGTGGACATAAAATGCTAAGCACCAGGTACTTAGAATACTTGCAGCCCATTCTATTAGCCTCATTGAGCATGGACACACTAATTGACATTTTTTCTTCTCTCTCTCCCCATCCTCTTTCTCTGTTCTATATTTGCAACCTGGACCCCTTTTACTCCATGCATCTGAAGAAGTAGGTTGTTCCTACAAAAGCTCATGATATCACCTACATGTTTTGTTAGTCTTTAAGGTGCTGCAGGACTATTAGCTATTTAAGTTTTTTTCAGTTTTACCACTAGAAGATAACTGAAATAGTCACTATTACCGCAGAAGTAATATGGTCTAATCCAGTGGTCACCAACCAGATGAGCTTGGAGCCTCCAAGAGGTGGTCCTGATTGGCTTGGCCAAGAGGCTATCAAGTGACAGCACGTCAGCTGCCCCTTCCCCTACTGCTGCCCATCTCCTGACCTAAGCTACCTCTCCCCCTAGGGAGCCTCCTGCTTTCTGGACAGGGCAGAGGAGGGAGAGAAGGGGCACTGATGTCAAGATGCCCCCTTTCCCACTCTGTATCCTTTCTCCACCAAGCAGAGAGGAGGCAAAACAGGACTTGGGATGGAGTTTGCTGGCTGCTTTTGGGAGTGGTGCAGGGCCAGGGCAGGGGTGAGCCTGCCTTAGCCTCACTGCACCACCACCCAAAAGCCACCCGAGGTTAACAGAGCTCAGCTGTAGCCTACATCCCAAACTCCTACCTCAGTCATGAACCCCCTCCTGCAACCCAAGCACCTGCCCTAACCCCATGCACCCCTGAATCCAAACACCCTCTCAGAGCCTGCACCTCGAACCTCCTCTGGCATCCCAACTGCCTGCTCCAAGATCAGCTCAGAACCTCTCACACTCCAGGTCCCTTAATCCAAGACCAGAGCCTGCACCCCACTCCTCTGCCCCAGCCTGATGAAAGTGAGTGAGGATGGAGTGATTCATAGGAGGTACAAATTTATACGAAGGATAAATACCAAAACAAACCACTAGCAATTCAATCTCAGGCAAGATAGATAAGCTTTATCTTTAGTTATGATGCAAACTAATGTACATTTCAATCTCACCCAGAAATGGTGCCTTATTCTTTCCTGTTTGGTTGTAGTGTCACTCAAATCACCCCAAAAAGTTAGCATGACTGAACATGTTACCCAAAGTATCTGCAATGGCAAAGCAGACAAGAACTGCAAACAAAATGACAAGAGATGTTTATCACAACAGTTCCCATTTTCAGCCTTGTCTGGGATTTGCACAATGAGTCCATATAGACAAATTCAGTTTAGAAGAGGGAACTTCTTGTATCTGGCTTCTGATCTAAATATAGAGAAACCCCTTCTTTTTGCCTTCGTTTGGGTGGCAGGGAAGAGGAAAAAAAAGCAAGATCCAAATCACACCTAGGTAGGTTTATTCTAGTTCAAAGACTTGATCCATGATTACTGGTGATAGAAAATTTGCCAGAAAGGCACTAAAGAACATTAATATTATCTGCATTAAAAAGATGCACTTGTTCACACCTTCCGGGTGAACAAACTTCGTTTCTCTTAAACCATTAGAGGAAATGATGTCCAGAAGCCACACCAAAGTAGGATCCAGACCCTCCAATTTGAGGGCACATGTCAGAGACTCACTCCATAAGGATGACCTGAATTATAACTCCTATGAGGCTTTAATAATTCATTACAGGCTTCACTGTCTCTGTCATTGTCTATTTCCATCCAAAAAAATCCACTAATAGTCAGAAGGGGCAAGTCACGGAACATGCTATGGATATTAGGACACCTCCCACAAATGCTCAGTGATAGCATAATATATGCTCTCTAAAGACCAAAATCATCATTTTGCAGAAGAGCTTACAGGCAGTCTTCTAAGGAAAACTGCAATGAGAACAGAGGTTTTTCCATTCAGGAATAAACAGGCTGTTGAGCTGGGAAAAATAGGACAGCCAGTTGGATCTGAATCGCTCAAATATTACCAGATTACAGTTCGTTACCTGGTGTGTCTTTAGAAATTTGTTCATATAAATTAGTCAGGTGTTCTCTCAGTTACTGTCAGTAATCAACAGCAAAGGCAATTTTAGGCATCTTCAATAAAGAGCAGTCTTCAGAACTATATCCCAGCATCACAACATTTTAAGCTACAAAAATAAGATTTTATTTTAATGTCATTTTAAAACTTTCATTGAAAGGGGCATTTAAAAAGATCGTATTTATTTCACATAGCAAGTAACAGTTCTGACAATCACACTGGATACATCTCTATAAAGAGCTGCAAAAGTGAACACTTTTGCACTATTTTCACGTATCTCCGAGGTTGTTTCCCTTTGTTGTGCTGATCGATACCACTACAAAAGAGTGGCAATCCCATGTCCTTGTTAGTATAATGTCAGGCTATTAGCATGGAGTTAGGGCAGCCATGAGGAGCTCCATTTTATATACAAAATTTCGTCCTTCCATTTTATTCCACTGAACTTCCTTGAATGGCCCACGAAGATGGTTCCATTTACTATCTTGTAGCACATCACTTTTCGGGAGGTCTTTGCATTGGCACCGTGGAAACTGCACCATAACTTTGCTGCCACTTTCAGGACCATTACGTACTGCAATGAGCAGAAAATACATAAATAAAAACCCTTTCAGGTTTTTTAATCCATCTTAATAAATACCCCTATGTGCAGTATACTAGCCATACATTTTTCCTTTAGTTACCATATGGAAATTTATTAAACAAGACAAATAATTAAAATATTGTTACTTCTAATGAAGTCTTCTGGCTTGTTCTCAAGGTTTCACATTTCCCCTGAATGTTTTTATTGCTCTTTTGCACATTTTCCTGCTCAGAGCAAACCAAAAGTCAATTGTATTCAGAAAAATTAAAAGAGCACCGGAATCTTAAAACGATTCTCATTCAGCTTTATCCCAAGTCTGTATCTTAGGAACTTAGGTATTTATGTGCCTTCTCAAGAAGATGATTTGACAGATTACACTGTAAGAGTGTACTCATCTTTTAAGAGAGACAATTACAAAGTCCTACAACATTTTTGTTACATGTACTATCAGAGAAATATTTGCATTTCTTTTTTAGCTCTATCTGATGTAGTGAAGGGGCCAAAGCTTTTCAGTGTTGCATTATCAGTGTATGTGGAAGCACAAAGGCTAGGAATAATGAATTTTAATGGCCTCATTATGTGTAATGCAAAGTTACTTTATTTAATTTCATTGCACATAGTAAAACATATCTTAAATATGCAATAATCTATTTCTCTTGTATTTATTACAGAACAAATCAGTATTTTTTAAAAAGGCTTTAAGCCAAAGTGACGAGGAGTCCTGTGGCACCTTATAGACTAACAGATTTATTGGAGCATAAGCTTTCGTGGGCGAAGACCCACTTCGTCAGATGCTTTAAGCAAATTACCCCACGTACTAAACAGCAATGAGTAGCAGACTTGATTGAATTAGTACTTTCCATAGATGTCAATTCCACACAAGAAAAAAAAAAAAAGCTTGTTTATAAAATACTTCATTATATAATAAAGCCATATAGAATCAATCCTTGAGCGTTTTAAGTGCTAGAAAAATCTATAGTTTTCATACCTTTCTATTATAATCATACAAAATTCTACCTGAAATAGCATAGTCTCCACTTGGTGATGCCAGAGTTATTGCTGATGCATTGCCAATACTCTCTACTGGTCCCAGACCCACATGATTACTGAAACTTAACACATGCCATCCCATCACTTTAGCCAGCTGCTGAACTGCATGTACTTGATGTTGTGACATCTGAAAGATAACAGAAGATTAGGTTTTTTGTTTATGATCATTTCTTATTGTTCTTGTTCCTATTCTTTTTTCCTGGCCTATATTAGTAAATAAAAAAAATGACTTCCCCTCAATTACCCTCCTCTGCCCCATTTCAGAAGAATTGGTCATTTTATGAAGATACCTCAATGCATACAATAGAAAGTAGAAATCTGCCTTCGTACGTGCCTGTTACTAGCTCATATTGGGGGAGGGGGAGATAAAGATAGATAGATAGATGTATATCTTGTATACACTGACTATCAAACTGTAAGTCTTTAAATGTACTAGGGCCCTGCTTGCTATGCTCGCCACCCCCCTTCTCCAGGGGTCGGCAGCCCCAGCTTTCCCATGGTCCCCCGGGAGGGCCAGGTCCAAGTGTAGCAGCCCTGGCCTGTCCTGGCTTTCCCCACTCCAGCCAGTCTGTCTGTGTGTGCGTGGGGGGGAAGAAGAGTTGGATCACACTGAGGCTGGCCCAGCTCTCTCCCATCCGGCCACCAGGGGGTGGGGCTGGGTTAAGAACAGGGTTGGCCCAGTCCTCTTGGTTTGGCAGGGAGTGGGGAGGAAGTGTAGTACCTAGCACTCTCCATCTGGCCATGAGGGGGAGGCTACATGGCTCCGGCCCCCGGCTGGCCAGGGGCGCTTCTCCCGCTTCCCACGGCAGCACGCACCGCCCGAGCAGCTGGAGTCAGCGCTATGGGGACTTTACTCCACTGCTGCCTTCCTGCGCGGGGGAAGGGGGAAGTCTTGGACAGTGTCAGCCCCAAATGCTCGGGCAGCACACACCTTGATCCTCCGCTCCCCACGGCAGCACACACGACCAGAGCAGCCAGAGCTGGCGCAGTCCCGGACCCCCACCTCCTGCCCTGTGCGCAGGAAGGCAGCAGGGGAACAAAGTCCACAGCACGTGACGGACCGGCGTTTTAGGTACCACGTGAGCTGTTGGGGGAGGTAGGGGAGAATAGCCGGTCCGTCACATGCCGTGGACTTTGTTCCCCTGCTGCTTCCGGGCACTGGCACACAGCTGCAGAACTTGCCCCCGCTCCGCAGGAAGCCCATGCTACCTCCGTTGTCAGTGGAGGTAGCATCAGCGAGTCGTTCATCTTGGGGGCAGTGCCGGTGAGCACAGGGGAGCCAGAGGCCATTGGGGGGAGGAGCAGGGGTGGCTTTGTGAGCTGCACTTTACAGGGGAGGGTGAAGGGAGGGGGGAAGCCGCAAGCTGCCCACCCCGATTTAGTTATTAGAAACAAGGAGAAGCCAATGCCATGTAACCAGCCAGGTTTAGTGATGCTAATTAAGTGCATGTTAGCTATTAAGAACTCCACTCTTGATGGGATTTGGCTAGGACAAGTTTGTTTTGCACGAAAATATCTTGGCGTCTCACATGGCTCTCACCAAGTAAGTAGCATCTTATGATCAAGAAAAACATCATGCTTGTTAGATCTGAAGGCTCACATGGTGAGTAGCATAAACTTTGCAGTTAAATGTATATAAATGAACTTCTTTGTTAGTTGTCTGAATTCAAATCCATCTAGCTAAAATGTTATACAGTTCCCATAGTTAAACACAGTCCCATACATAAAACATTTATGAAGAATTTGGTCAATCACAATTTAACCTGCAAAGTGTTGGGAAACTAACACAGCGAGGCACAGGCTATCCAATAAGTTTCTGGACTGCATTGGAGACAACTTTCTGTTTCAGAAGGTTGAAAAAGCTACCAGAGGAGAAGCTGTTCTGGATTTGGTTTTAACAAATAGGGAGGAACTAGTTGAGAACTTGAAAGTGGAAGACAGTATAGGGGACAGTGATCACGAAATAATAGAATTCATGATCTTAAGGAAAGGTAGAAGGGAGACCACCACAATTGAGGTTATGGATTTCAGGAAGGCAGATTTTGATAAGCTCAGAGAACTTGTAGGTAAGGTCCCATGGGAAGCAAGACTGAAGGGAAAAACAACTGAGGAGAGTTGGAAGTATTTCAAAGGGACGTTGTTAAGGGCCCAAAAGCAAACAATTCCGCTGTGTAGGAAAGATAGAAAATATGGCAAAAGACCAGCTTGGCTTAACAAGGAGATCTTGCATGATCTCAAAATAAAAAAGGAGTCATATAAAAAATGGAAACTAGGACAACTAACAAAGGATGAATATAGGCAAGCAACACGGGAATGCAGGGGCAAGATTAGAAAGGCAAAGGCACAAAATGAGATCAAACTAGCTACAGGCATAAAGGGAAACAAGAAGACCTTTTATAAATACATTAAAAGCAAGAGGAAGACCAAGGACAGGGTAGGCCCACTGCTTAGCGAGGAGGGAGAAGCAGTAACAGGGAACTTGGAAATGGCGGAGATGCTCAATGACTTCTTTGTTTCGGTCTTCACCGAGAAGTCTGGAGGTGTGCCTAACGTAGTGAATACAAGCAGAGAGAGGGTAAGTTTAGAAGATAGGATACACAAAGAACAAGTTAAAAATCACTTAGGAAAGTTAGATGTCAGCAAGTCACCAGGTCCTGATGAAATGCATCCCAGGATACTCAAGGAGCTGATAGAGGAGGTATCTGAGCCTTTAGCTATGATCTTTGAAAAATCATGGCAGACAGGGGAGATTCCAGAAGACTGGAAAAGGGCAAATATTGTGCCCATCTATAAAAAGGGGAATAAGAACAACCCAGGAAACTACAGACCGGTCAGTTTAACGTCTGTCCCAGGGAAGATAATGGAGCAGGTAATTAAGGAAATCATATGCAAACACTTGGAAGGTAATAAAGTGATAGGGAATAGCCAGCATGGGTTTGTGAAGAACAAGTCATGCCAAACTAATCTGATAGCTTTCTTTGATAAGATAACGAGCCTTGTGGATAAGGGAGAAGCGGTGGATGTCATATACCTAGACTTTAGTAAGGCATTTGATACGGTCTCGCATGATATTCTTATTGATAAACTAGGCAAATATAACTTAGATAGGGCCACGATAAGGTGGGTGCATAATTGGCTGGATAACCGTAGTCAGAGAGTTGTTGTTAACGGTTCTAAATCCTGCTGGAAAGGGATAACAAGTGGAGTTCCTCAAGGGTCTGTTTTGGGACCCATACTGTTCAACATCTTCATCAATGATGTAGATATTGGGATAGAGAGTACGCTTATTAAGTTTGCAGATGATACCAAACTGGGTGGGGTTGCAACTTCTTTGGAGGATAGGGACATAATTCAAAATGACCTTAGCAAGTTAGAGAAATGGTCAGAGGTAAACAGGATGAGGTTTAATAAAGAGAAATGCAAAGTGCTCCACTTAGGAAGGAACAATCAGTTCCATACATACAAGATGGGAAGCGACTGTCTAGGAAGGAGCATGGCAGAAAGGGATCTAGGGGTCATAGTGGACCACAAGTTGAATATGAGTCAACAGTGTGATGCTGTTGCAAAAAAAGCAAATATGATTCTAGGTTGTATCAACAGGTGTGTTGTAAGCAAAACTCGTGAAGTCATTCTGCCGCTCTACTCTGCACTAGTTAGGCCTCAGCTGGAGTACTGTGTCCAGTTCTGGGCGCCACATTTCAAGAAAGATGTGGAGAAATTGGAAAGGGTACAGAGAAGAGCAACAAGAATGATTAAAGGTTTAGAGAACATGACCTATGAAGCCAGGCTTCATGAACTGGGCTTGTTTAGTTTGGAAAAAAGAAGATTAAGGGGGGACATGATAGCGGTTTTCAAATATCTAAAAGGGTGTCACAAGGAGGAAGGAGAAAATTTGTTCCTCTTGGTTTCTGAGGACAGGACAAGGAGTAATGGGCTTAAAGTGCAGCAGGGGAGGTTTAGATTGGACATTAGGAAAAAATTCCTAACTGTCAGGGTGGTCAAATATTGGAATAAATTGCCAAGGGAGGTGGTGGAATCTCCCTCTCTGGAGATATTTAAGAACAGGTTAGATAGACATCTGTCAGGGATGGTGTAGACAGAGCTTGATCCTGCCTTGAGGGCGGGGGGCTGGACTCGATGACCTCTCGAGGTCCCTTCCAGTCCTATTATTCTATGATTCTATGATTCTAAGTGACTGATATTCTTGTCTGCACATGTAGAATTTCTACCTAGTTTCTGTATCTTTCAGACTTAAACATCATTTTTTTCAAATACAATCATGATACTTATTACTGTTCATCACAATTACCAACAACACAAACACATGCAAGTAAAAAAAAATAAATCAACCCTGAACATGAGTTTACCTGAGAGAGAAGGAAATCCTGTAATTCTTGTTCTTGATGAGACAATGTAATAACTCTTCCATCTCTGTGCACTATCCTGATCTGTTCAACTCCAATGTTCAGCTGTAGCTGAATGGATCTTTTAAAACAAGAATATAGAATCTGTACTTCTACTGAAAAATTATCTGGAAGTTGGCAGTTCACTATGTTAATAAAAGTTCCTAATTAAAAAGAGGTCACTTTTAAGAGAATCTTACACGCATGTGCTAAAGAGCAATCCATAAAGAAGCTACCATGTTGACACTCCCATGTTCTTGATTAGAACAATAGGGAAAACACCTTCTATCTGAATGAACAACAAAGCATGAACCTTGTTAGAAGTGGTAATATAGTATTTAGGCCTGTTCATTAGCCTGACATAGAACTTTGGGTTACGTTTGCCTGCTTGACTCTTGACATTATATCTTTAACATAGGTGAACAAGGAACAAAGAGAGTGTGTGTTGCTTCTGCATACAAGATAAGGAGTTTTGTATAATGAGAAAAAATAAGACAGAGCAAAACTGTTATATGATAGGAGTTTGATATATGACTGCCACAACTCCTATCTCAAGATAAGGTCGAACTTTGGGTTACGTTTGCCTGCTTGACTCTTGACATTATATCTTTAACATAGGTGAACAAGGAACAAAGAGAGTGTGTGTTGCTTCTGCATACAAGATAAGGAGTTTTGTATAATGAGAAAAAATAAGACAGAGCAAAACTGTTATATGATAGGAGTTTGATATATGACTGCCACAACTCCTATCTCAAGATAAGGTCAAGCAACCAGCTGGGAGGAGCGAAGGGAACTGGGGGGGGGGGGGGGGGGGGGGGGAGGAGAGGCTGAGCAGGGGGGGGGGGGGCTGGGGGAAGAGAGAAGGTATAAAAACAATAAAACCAAAGAAAAGGTGGCCTTGGCCAGTGCAAAACCTCACTCCCTGCTCCTCCCATGGGGTAACAAAAGAGGTGGTACCAAAGCCCAGATTCAAAATCCTCCAAAACAGACCATGATCATCAATTGTAAGGGATGGTACAAGGGGCAAGCACTACAGGTATAAATTAAGCTTGTTAAAAAGGAAGAGATTGGGGTGAAGGGGGGGGAAAGGAAAGTTCTATAGGTATAAACAGCTGGGATTATGCTTATTTGGGAACCCCAATAAATATTGCATTGCCTGCACGTTGGACTTTGGCCTTCCGCTTGCTTGACAAGAAGCAAGAGAGAGCGCAGGGGAGCCCTAACGAACCTTTAAATGTTTCTTGGTAAGTTGCTTATAAAGTATTTTGGTTAGCTAAGATCAGAGATGCAAGTGACATAACATGTATCCTCTCTCCCCCAGCCAACTCTGTTCTTGTCAACATTAATCCCATTCTAGCTAGTAGAGTCCTGTTCTCTGAAGCGCTCCAGGAGCATAAAATCTCAAACAGCAATTCTCTGTCAGATTAAAAGACCAAAACCTGCAGAGGGTGAAGATTAGGTACAAACGACATGGGACTCATCTATGATCTCAATAAATTCATGATCACCCAGTGCAGCACAGAACTGTGGCTTTAACGAGTACGGCATCAGGAATCAAAGGAACTAAACCAGAGTATAATTCTTGATTATTTCACTGCAAGTTTATGTGTAGACATTTAATTCTAAAATACGAATCTCTATTTTGATGCAAGTCTGAGAATAAACACCTGTATTACAGAACTAAATCTCTACACGCAGAATTATACTGAAATAATTGAAGGAGTAAATTACAAGTGATCATTTTAGTTCCAGATTCCCTATTGACAACCCTATAGATTAACAAAGTAGCAGCTCTTGGTTCAGAAATCTAGCAGTTTCTCCAGCCCACTAATGTGGAAATAGAGGAAAGTGTTTTTAGACACTTTTAGTAATGGAGGCCCAACATTTGACTCTTTGCCTAAAGGAATGCTGTTGGTCACCTGAAAAAAAGGAAAAAGGTAATATCTATTTACAAAATTCCTACATTAATGTAACAGTTTTGCTACAGAAGGTAGAGAGCTTTTTAACTTTTGGGGTTCTCTTCTGAAAGCTGTTTGGGCAGAGTGTTGCTTTTAAATCAAGCTCATCTCAATTTATGGAAAATTTAATTTTCTCTTATTCTCTGCAAATACAGGAATATTCCATACCCGAACATACACAGCAAACACACAAATACTGGGCTCATGTTGATCAGCCTGAAGTTGGATTGGATCAAGTACAACATAATATTGTATGCACACAGGCACCCTAGCTACCTTAATAGTTGTCTCAGAGAATACAGATTGGACCTCCCTGGTCCAGCACCCTTGGGACCTGAACGGTCCCGGACCAGTGAGTTTGTCCGACCAGGGGAGGGGTCAGGTCTCCACTGCAGACTGCCCTGCTCTGTGCTCCTCTCCTTGGGGCTCCCTGCCCTGCCAGTGGCTCTGCTAAATGCTGGCCCGGTATAGCTCCCCACTCAGCTGCCCAGGATCTCCTGGGGTTCCTAGTGGAGAGGGGGGGAGCCGGAGGAGAAGAAAGCCCTGCTTGGCTGCTGCCAGCCCCACTGCTGCAGGGTGAGCCCCAGCGCGGAACCCTGGGGAAATCTGGTTACTGCTGTACCTGCTGCCACTGCAGCTTCCCCAGCCATGGCCATCTGGACACACTGCCCTGCTGGCTAGGGATTCTATGGATTGCTTGGCCAGGTTGCCCATCTCCATCAGGCCCACTTCAACCAGAGGGTTCCCTGGTCATGCTGCCACCAGGGATTTCCTGGGGTTTCTGGCATAGTTCCCTGTAGGCTGCATGTTTGAGTGGCCACGCAGGAAAAATTTAAGACCCACACATCTTGTTAGCAGAACCGTGCAGCAGCATGCCTGCAGCCCTGCACTAATGAGGTACTTCTTGCAGAGAGCTCCTGATGCTATATCTGGAAGTGGGAAAAGATGGGCTTGATGGGGGGAAATAGAGGTGGGGGAGAGTGGAAGCGGCTTTAAAAAAAGCTTTGGCAGGTGGCCAGACAGCTCTGTGTCCCCTTTTCCCTCCCCTCCTCTCCCTCTTCCCTCTCTTGGGCAGCCACATGTTTTGCTGGGCTGCTTTAATAAAAAGCCTTTGCTGCTCCCTCCCCTTTCTCCCCCGGTAACTCCAGTTGCTTGCCTTCTGTTCAGAGTACAAGGCAGGAAGCACCCATAAAAGAGCGCAATCCACATCTAAGAAGGACTGTGCTAACATGGTGCTACAATGCTGAAGCTTGCTGTCCACCCATGTTTTTCAGACACTGCTTAGGTGCAGAAAAAAATAAATAAATGAAAATATGCAAAGGATTTCATGCCTCAATATTTTCACAGAACTGAATTACACCAGCTTTGAAGAATGAAAGATCTATAATATGTAAACAACTGAAATATTAAAAAACCCTGTTTCCTAGATAATAGGGAACAATATGCGGACAAAAAGTGTTCAGAAATGAGCCCATTAAATAACAATCTTTAATTTTAAGCATAAAGTATAACAACTATTTCATGTACGGATACTAATAATAAAATATTTTGTTTGCTATATCAAGAAGCTGGACAATTTTGTTTTGTGCCTCAAAAGAACAGCTACTGAACATTTTGCAGTATTATTTTTTTTTATTTCATATTAAATAAATAGGCATGTACCTTGTTAGCTATCCCTTGTTTAAGTATTTTTTTCTTCTATAATGTTTAAAAAAAATATCTTAGCTGTTTGTTAGTAACTGGTGGGTACCATGGTAGCACACTTCTGCAAAAGCTCACGACCTCAATATTGGTGCACATAACAAAACTCACTCTGCTCATGGATGGAGGGAACACTGGTTCCTGGCCCAGGCCACCTGGCTGCCAATAGCTGGTCACGTGGCTCCATTAATGCCAGGGGTTTCCTGGCCATCCTGACCCCGCTGACACTAGGGGTTCCCCGGCCTGGGGTGGGCCTCCCTGGCCACTGCCTGGTTCCATTAATGCCATGGGTTCCCTGGCCAGGGCAGGAGCTCCCCAGATGCCACCTGGTCCAGCTGGGCCTCCCCAGCCCCTGTATTGCTCTGGCCTCTGGGGCTCTTTGGTCCAGCAACATCTGTGGTCCTCCTAGACCATGGATGTTGCTAGACCAGAGAGTCTGGATTTAGGAGGTTCAACCTGTATTTCAGTTTTCAAACTTACTTGCATATTTGTTCATAACCTTGGGAAGTTATGAGAACTTTGACACTGGATTCATAAACATCATTTATGTTTGACCAGTGGGCCTGAATCTGTGGATCCTCAATACGACTAGCGAGACTGTCAATGGTTCGAGCAGTTCTAAAAGAAACAAAAGAGTAAAACCATAAAGCTCATGATACCATCTACATGTTGTGTTAATCTTTAAGGTGCTGCTAGACTTCATTGTTTTTTAAGTTTTTCCAGTCATCTAGTTAGTGTGCCACCATCTTTTCTCCAAATAAAGACAGGGTAGAGAGAATGTAGCAGTTTGATCTAGCTGGTACTGTACAGTACATTTTTTAAATAACTTTATTTTACAAACTAAGTTTAAGGACACCTAAAGCTACATATATTTGCATTAGAAGGTGAACAGTTTGGGCACACACAAGAAAACAAAACTGTTTTGGTGCCAGAATTGCAAAAGGACGTGTCGCATCTGCTTAAAAGATATACTTTACATGAATTCCTCAAAGATAGTCTTGAATATATATTATGCAGCATACAGATCAACTATGTATGTCTCCACACTTTACTGAGGAAAGTACTATAAAAGATGGAAGCAGTGCTTTTGTTAACGCAGAGACAACTACCTCTGTATTACAAGCATCACGTAGAGCAGTGGTGAGCAAACTGTGGCCTGCAGGCCACATGTGGCACACCAGAGTTCTGTGTGTGACCCATGAAACATTCTGTTTACCGTTGCCTATATGCAGGGTTGGGCGATTCTGCTGGTATCTGTCCGCGTAGGCTTCCCCCCCCCCCCCCCCAATCGGTATCACTAAAGTGACATGCACCTATAAAGCAAGGGCATGTGAAGGGAGGTGCATGCTGACTGCATACAACATTGACTGAAAGAACTGTGCACTTCCTCTGCATCCAATCAAAGTGCTGCTGTGGTTCAATCAGCACACCCCACAAATTCTAGGTATGCAAGAGCAGTCAGTCTCCCAGGGTAGGGTAGTTTGCTGTCTCAGTTATAACAATCTTGAGGTCCAGTGAGATGAAGGAGGGCTACTCATTAACAACTCGCTAGCCTAGGTTGCCCATCATTGCTATAGGTGTATTTTAAGGGCAAGTATTGAACTTTCTGTGTTTGTATTCCATGGGTGTCACTGTGGGAGAGAGAGTTATTCATTCCTAATATTCAAGATTAAATAAGTCTCTGGAACAAAAGTAGTAAGTTTTGGGAACATTCTCAAAAATTAATTCAGTCTGTATGGAACACAGGACTATGCAGCACTTTAAAGACTAACAAGATGGTTTATTAGGTGATGAGCTTTCGTGGGCCAGGCCCACTTCCTCAGAACAAATTGTGGAAGAAAATTGGCACGACCATATATATCAAAGGGATACAATACAAAAAAGTGAACACACACAAAAAGGACAAATCAGATTTCAGAACAGAGAGGGAATGAGGGGGGAAGGTTAATGTCTGTGAGCTAATGATATTAGAGGTGATAATTGGGTTTATTGGGGAAGCTATCTTTGTAATGGGTAAACACCTCTAATATCATTAGCTCACAGACATTAACCTTCCCCCCTCATTCCCTCTCTGTTCTGAAATCTGATTTGTCCTTTTTGTGTGTGTTCACTTTTTTGTATTGTATCCCTTTGATATATATGGTCGTGCCAATTTTCTTCCACAATTTGATCTGAGGAAGTGGGTCTGGCTTACGAAAGTTCGTCACCTAATAAACCATCTTTTTAGTCTTTAAAGTGCTTCATAGTCCTGTCTTTTGTTTCAGCTAGACCAGACTAACACGGCTACATCTCTATTACTATTCTGAACACATGAGTGTTAGTTTTTACTATGGCTTTATCAAGAATAGCTTGGATACATACCTGCGCCTCAGAAAGATGTGTTTTGCCTGTTTAATGATCTTTTCCAGAAGCCCTTCATTTGGTTGTAAGGAGCTGATGTCATTTTTATCAAAAGCCTGAGGTCCTGCCATTCTCATTCTCTTATGGCCAAATGGTGCACTAGCTGGATGTGGCATCATTGTAGAGCTTAAAGTTTGCTTGTGGAACTGCAACAAACAATAGTTGTTATAAGAGATGACTGCAAGAAAAACCAACAAATGTCAAGCATGCTCTTCTAATACATCATTGGTTAGCTATATAATACACTGCTTCATGTTTTAAAACAGAGATGGGGAACCTTTTTTGGCTGGGGGCCACTGACCCACTTGAAAAAAAAAATCAGTTGGGGCAGTGTTCCCTGGAAGCTGTGCACTTCTGTGGTTGCTTAGCAGAGATTCAAATACTGCCTAGCCAATCAGCAGAGTGCCCACAGTTAGTTTTTTTGTTTCTATTGGTGGGGCACATTTGCACGTGCCTCGGTGCACATAAAAAGTTTATTCCGCACATGGATGGAAAAGATTAGAGGCAATATTAGTTAGAAACCACTCAAGTGAGAAGCAAAAATAAAAACAAAACCCAACATAAAACCAAGTCTCACTGACATGGCTCCCAACGGGGATTAGGGACTCTGCTCATGCTCCATCCCCAGAGGAGGCAACGGCTCAATTCTTCTCCATGCAGTAGGGTGAGCCAGCACTCACTCTGTATCCCCGGTGGGGTGCCAAGGCTTAGGGCTTCCCCCTTAAGAAGGCCAGCCGGCACATGTGCTCCAGCCAGGCAGAGGTGTCGAAGCTCAGAGACTGGCTGCGCTGCAGGTGAAAGCCCTGAGCCTCGCCATGGGATAGTTCCAAGCCAGCCAGAGACCAGATATGGCCCATGGGCTGTAGGTTCCCCACCCTGGTTTTAAAAGGACAATATTAAAAAGATCATATTTTGGCAAAGAAGTGCTGCATGCTATTTTAACACATATAATCACAGTAAGAAAAGCTGACATGTATTCTTTTATTTCTCCAGTTTTACTGTGTGCATTCACCAGCACTTTATGTACAGTAAGTTTTATATTTCCCTGTGTAGTCTGCTCCTCTGTTTATGTGGTTCTTTTGCACAACAAGGAAGAGAAAACTAAAGGGTGTTGCATTATGCATCGAGAATATTTACACTAATTCTGAGATGCAGAAGGAAATGAGAGATAGACCAGTTGAAAGTCTCTGGATAAAGTTTAAGAGGGAGAAAAAAAAAAAAGGAGTGACATCAGGAAGGAGGAGGAGGAAGAGGCATTTCTAGAACAAAAATCCAAACCTATTAAATGGGCAGGGCAGAGGACAACCATTTTAGATTTGATTCTGAAGAAAACAGAAAAGGATGCGATACAAAGATGGGAGTGTGACGACAGTGCCAATTAAATCAGAGAGATGTGGCTTATCTCCAACAATGATGAGAAGGCTAGAGTACCTGAATGAGAAATTACCTATTGTAACATGAGAACCATTCCATGCATCTATTTAAACCTTGTTTCAGGATGTCAAATTTGCATGTGAATTCCTACTCAGCATTTTTTGTTTTTGAAGATTTTTTGGCCTGAGAATGGCAACTTGCAAGTCAGAAATTGTGTGTCCAGCAAGGTTAAAATGTGTGCCTGGTTGTGTGCCTCAGTTTCTCTGGGCACTGCACGAATACCTACATGATGATGGGAATTATGGCGTGATAGCCTCCCCCACATACCCAATGATTGATGCCTTTTGTAACCAAAACCCTGAAGGAGTGTGACCATGTGACACCTACTTCTATGGAAGCAGGACAAAAGCAGGAGGAGGGGGCTGGGACTGGCTTGCTGGGTGTGTGAGCTAGTCTTGGTTGGCTTGGGGTTCAGGGTAGGGATCACGGGCCTAGGCTCTGAGCCCCCTCTCCCCAAGATGGATTGTACTGACTGCTTCTGGTTACCGTGCTGAAAAGACTGTCCTATATTGTATCCCTGTTGACTATTAAACCTTCCCTTCTATCTACTGGCTGACAGCTACATCTGACTGTGGATGGGGTGCAGGGCCTCATGACTCCCCCACACTGATGACAGGGCGCACAGCTCCAACCACAACACAGCTTCTTCTAATAAATCAAGAATGTATAGTAAATCTTCAGAATAGTGAAAAAGAGGAGTGAGACTGACCTCAAAGACTCACAATTATGGTAAGTAACTGTTCTTTCTACGTTAAGCATTGTCTTTACGAACTATTCTCCTGAAATGAGCATCCAACTTAGAGGCTACATCTAAAAGTTAGGGATGTTAAATCGGTAAGCATAAGGCTTACTACTATGCTTACCAGTTAACTAGTCCTTGTCAGTGGACACTGGCATCGGTGGCCAGCCACGCCAAGCCGGATCAGCTCCGGTGGGGCTGGGCAGTAGGACCTAAGTTAAAATGGTTAACTGGGTAAGTGCTATCGTTTAACCAGTGAAGCTCTGTAACATCCCTGCAGGGAACAATATCCCATGAATGTTCAAGTGGAATTCCTGATATTAGCTTTCCACATCTACACAATGGAGGCATTTCTTAGACATGCAACAGACATGCCTTATACAGGTGGACAGAAAATCACTGGCCACTGGTGTTATGACATAATGGGACTATGAATGGGAAATAAGAGAACTTCAACGTTCAAATAAAAATGAATTACCTCTCTAATCAGCTGATGCAAATTGTGTTCCAGAACATAGAGATGATCTTCTGGACTCTGTTTTTCAGAAGCAGCTTTTTGGGATTTTTTATCATTAGAAGAGTGACACAAAGAAATAGACAACTGCAAACCTGCATAAAGCAAAATAACTTTCAACTTTTTCATGCTAATAAGTAGAAGTGAGACAGGGCAACTTATTCTTTTTTCTCTTATCCCCTTTCAAAATCATCAGCTTCTCAATCAATGCTGTTTCAGAGAAATTCAAAAAAAAGTCAGACTATGGAAACCAGAAAAGAAAATCTGATTATTCTGCAAATTTGTAATTCAAGCTAATTAATAAATATAATTCCTTATCAAGTAAAGAAAAGGAAAAGTCTCCTAAGAGTTAGACCTGTAGCATACTGGTAAATAAATAATTCTCATATCACCCAGTTCACCATTCATTATTGTTTGACGCAATCCAAAAAAACCTTAGGAAGGTGGAAGTCAAGATCACCCTCAGCAGGGGTGCAGGATTCCCTGGCAACTTTGAGGACAGAGCAAGGGTGGGGAACCTAAGACCCAAGGTCTGCATCTGGCCCCAGCTTGCCTGCACCGAGCCCCTGAAGCTCAGGGCTCTCCACCCAGTATTAGGGAGCCTGTGCTGGCACTCCAGCCCCCTCCCCCGCAGCCCACCCAGGGGGCTGGAGCACAAAATCTACTAGCCTGGGTTCCCTTAGGCACTGGTATGCAAGGGGAACATGGGGAGTATCTTTCTGCCTCTCAGTCAAGGGCTATATTAGCAAGAGGTTGGGTTTTTTTTTGCGCTTATCACCTGTGTGCGACCCCCAACTGATCGCTTTCAGAATCCCCATATTGTTCGAGTAGCCTGACTGTAGGATATTAGACTTAGCTCTATTCAAGTACTTACTACAAATCAGCCAGAAGTTTTATAGTTTCCATGCACTGGAGAAGATTGCTAAAGAGCCTCAAAGTCCTATTTCCGTAACATGGTGCACTAGACTACCAACACTTTTGTTGTTAGTACTGCTGCTATTGAAATAAGTGCATCATGTGAATAGTTTTTAAAAAAAGCATTTTAGTCAGAAATGATCAGATTCAGAATGTGGTTTTCAGGGAAGCTGCACCTTTAATCCTATTCTTCATTTGGTAAAAATAAATTAACAAGGAGTCAATTGATCTTGCATAAACATCATACAAATCAAAGTTTAAGTCCGGATTAAAACAGACAATTCTGTGGATTTCATGTTCCATGACAAGAGTCTCTCAAGGTTTCTTACCTGGAAAAGGCTGGGAAATTATCTGGTTTTTCACAACAATGTGAGGGATTTGTGATTTAATTTGAACAGCTTCTCGAGACAGCTGAGCAAATATTTCTTTACATAAGAGAACATTTTGTGCAGCTTCAAGTTTTGTCTGCCAATGTGGAGCACCTGAAAAACATGAACCATACAAATTTTCAAAGAAACAATAAACAGCAACCTATTTTATTAATTCAGATGTCAGCTGTTAGAGAATGACTAAGGCACCAGGTGACCACTGTGAGGAAAATCTAGCCTACTGTTCCCACCTGAACCGAGCCTTGTTATAATATCTCCATTACGTGAATCAACACAAACCCCTACTGAATTGTAATCAAACTTACATGTGCACATTAACTATCTGTATTGCACTAGTACCTACATGGATTTGCTACACAGTGCAGGGCACTGAATGAACAGTTAAGATGACAGTCTGTACCTCAAAGAGATTTCAAACTGAGAAAGTATTTTCAAAACAGTACCTTGAGATTTGCAAAATTAACCCATGCACTTAAACACATAGTGTTTTTGAAAGTCAATTATTAATTTAGAACCCAAAATTTAGGCTCCTATTTTTAAAAATTGTTGGCCAGAGTACCAAATTAAGGCTTTGTCATAAACACAAAGATTGACACGAGACCAAATTAGTGATCTATCTAGTGCAGCATTCTTCAGAAGGTGAAGAATCTCTGTAATGAACACTTGTGGCATAATGTGTAAACAAGTGAAGTTCCTTTCTAAGCCTAAAACTGACTTCTGAAGCAGGAGGTCTCATGTCATAGTTTGAAATTGTGAAGGTCATTATTCACAAGAACATCTAGTCTTTTTAAAATCCTGCTTAATTTTTGGATTCACTGATATCTTATGATAAATTCCCCAGATTCCATAAATGTTATAAAAACATTTCCTCTTACCAGTTTTTAATATATCATCTTTCATTTGGACTGGATGTTATCCTGTGCTTGTATTAGAAGAAAGGGTAACTAGGAGCATCCAATTCACATGATCTACACCACTATCATTTCAATTATATCCTCACTAGACTTAATTCCCAATGCTTTCACACTCTCCTTGCCTCAAATACTTCTTATTGCTCACTTAAAATGCCATGCCTTAAAACATTTAAATCTCAGAAATATGCAAGAATATTCAAGCTGACACTTCAGTTGTCATCAAACAGCTTCTCCCCCATGCACTGACATCAGATCATTCAGGACTTTAAAGTGACATTAACACCATTAATATGCAGCAAATGCAGACCTTAGAGAACTGGAGTAATATGCCCCTTTTATCCAACATTACTAAATAAATGGGCAGCTACTACTGAACAGGTGCACAGAATATAAATTTCCATTTTAGAAAGAACTGAGTAACTTGCAATGTCAATATTTATTACATAAACTATAACTCCAACTTCACTCCTTGAAGACTATTTCATGTAGTTCTCGTTAATCTTTTTGCGCTTCTTCCTGGGCTTAATCCATAAGAAATACAGAAGACTGATGGAATACATTTTGTGTTTCTAATGTATAGATATCATCTAAACACTACATTTACACTAGAACCACAATCTTGTGTGTGTGAAATCATGACTTGTTCTTCATAAACATCACTTTTTTTAACACGCCTTTACATTCCAACACTTTTAATGCATTGTAAATTGCTTTGCAGTCGTTTAAAGGACAAGATTAAAGTAATGCACTGCACCTATCGTAATTTTGAGACATTCAATATTATGAGCTTCTCAACCCCAACTTAATTCGTAAAATACGGGTTGTCCAGTTCATGGAAATAAATGTCACAACCTTGCTCTTAACAGTTTCTTAAATAATTCTGTAAGTGCTCTGAACTGACATCACATTTCAATCCAAATTTTGTCTTGAAATAGAATATTAAATAAAAGGGTTATTAATAATAATTCAGTTTAGGTAAAAACGTAGTTACTCAACTCCATGAACTACAAAAGGCAGTTGATGCACTTCTTTCTCCTTGTTGCTCCTCTCCATCAAAAGCACAAATTAAGAATGTTAAGGACTAGTTGACTATCCAATAAGCAAATGGTCAGCTGTGTGGCGGCTGCCCCTTTGAAACACTTCCTCGGCATTTCAAAGGGGCAGCACTGTGGAGCCTGGGATCAGCTGACTCTGGGTTCTGTGCAGTATTTCCCCAGAAATTCCATTGACTACTTGACTAATCAATTAACCGCAGTTTAGTATCCTTAGCACAAATATCGTCTTAGTTCATCCTGTTGCATTCTTGGAATATTTAAATACATAAAAGTAAAATTTGAGAAAAAGGTTTAAACTGAACCCATATTAAGTGATTTTTCAATTAACCTTGAGTTATATGGTTGACTCTCTTCCTAAAGTTGTTAAAAATGATTTGTTTATTTTAGAAACTAAGTATGTGCATTAGTGGTATTGAAGGAATTTTAATGCCTTCAACAGCAACATATCCATATGTATCTTTTGAAGGGGTTACAAAATGAGGTTTTCAAATGTATTTATCTAAAGAATTTCAGTTGAATCAAGAATGAGAAAATTATTTCCCCTTTGATTATTTTCCGATGCTACTCAAGTTTTTTTCTCATAATATATTATTCCCCAACTTAATGTTAAATGCAGACTCAATCCTTAGGCCTGCAACTTAAAAAATGGAGTATAGCTATACCTGGTTTTGATTTTGGCAGAGGTCTTTTAAAAAGATTAACTGTGCCAAGGTCACCTATGTCTGGAGCTTGCTTTTGAATAGAAACCTGTATAAAAGAAAATGAAAAACAATGTTACTTGTCATGTAATTGGAATACAGAACACAAAAATAGTACCGAAACTATACAACACGTTTGCCAAACCTTTATATAAGCTGATCCTTCTAAATCACTTGGAATCTGAACATCCAAAGGACAGTAATCCTCTGGTATCTTCTTATCCAGATCAATATCTGTGTTCTTTATCACTTCAAATGTGCCATGATGAGGGAAGAGGGACCCTAAAAGGGAAACAGAAAATATTATGAAAACATCTGAAAAATGTCATGAGACAATGTTTTCGTGGATTAGAAGTCTTCTCATCTTTTCATCATACAAAAGATAGACTAGCATTGAACTTTCCCCCAATGAACAATTCAGTAAAATGTCTTCTCCACACTGCAGAACTGTCAACTGAAGAGGCTCTACACATTAATATTAAGAAATGCAGTAGAACAATATGATCTAGGCAATATGGTTTCCATTTTTTTTTCTGGACATGGGGAGTGAAGGAGGTAAGAAAGACTGAGAAGGAAGTTATCGGTTTAAAATGTTATGGTACCTGTGATTTTTCCAATAAGGGATACTGCACCTGAATATTTACTCCCAACTCAAAAATGAGAATGTTTCCACATAATGTTTAAAATTCTAATTTAGGTTAAACAAATCCAATGCACAGATTTTTTAGATGGTACAATAAAGTGGTTCTTCCATATTGCAGTGGTGATGCTTCATTCCCTCTTAGGCTGCGAACACTTACAAAAAGGCTTACCTTCAATCATGTGCAAACATTTCAACATGGACTATGTATGTGTGGAGTTCATCACTTGCTTAACAGAAACATTAGGACAATATAACCTTGTATGATCCAATGCACAGATTTTTTAGATGGTACAATAAAGTGGTTCTTCCATATTGCAGTGGTGATGCTTCATTCCCTCTTAGGCTGCGAACACTTACAAAAAGGCTTACCTTCAATCATGTGCAAACATTTCAACATGGACTATGTATGTGTGGAGTTCATCACTTGCTTAACAGAAACATTAGGACAATATAACCTTGTATGAACAACCACAAAACCAACTACCTTTTTTGTAGACACACAACTCTTCCCAGTCCCC